GTAAACTTCTTCCGTTTCGTCCACGTGAATGAAGTGGACGAAACGGAAGAAGCTTACATTGAAATAATTTTTCGCCTAACCTGCAATCCTTAGGTCATTTTGCGTGGTAAGCAAGGAATTTCGGACCTGTGGAAACAGTCGTCACTGATGTACAAATCTGAAAATTATCTGCTCCAATCGAAGTTCTCTGGCACTGTCAATTTGCTACCATTACTAGTTAAAAGATACACCAGAACAAGCAGGAAATGGAAAATTATCACCTTTCCGACCTCTGTCATCAATTTAGAAATACGTGACAAAGCTTCAAGAAAAACCTTCTACCTACTTCGATAGTCCAGAAGCAATCCAGGAACAAAAACCTGCAATTTACCGGCAAATTTAAACTTCCCAACTTTGAGTTGGGATCCAAGCTACGTACCACCTTCCTGAATAGCTATGTTGGATTTGCAGTCGATGTTTGAGCAAACAGAGTTCTTCATTCATGGTTGCCTCAAAGTATATTGGTTCAGTAATTTGAAACTCTGGAATCCTATCAATGTGGAGATAAACTTGACATAATAGTTTCTTCCTTCCACGAAGTAGTGTTTTCGACTAAAAAGGAACTAATTAATGTAAATTGTTTGACAAAAATACTTATGCGTGTTGATTTAAGCGATAAAACTTTTCTTGTTCCATTGATCAATGTGAGTGGACAGAAACTAAATGTAAGAATAATTGTCTGTCTAGAGAGAACATAGGATCGGCTACAGTAAAAAAAAAAGATGTAAATCTTACAAGGACCTTTCAAATTAATTGAGTATTCTCTTGCATTTTGCTCTTTTGGTTTGTCACTTGTATTTGCGACATGCAGCTTCACCTCTGAGTGAAAAGTGTAGTTTGGTTAAGCATTAATTTTGTCAGAAGGCTTAATCTGAGCTTTTGACCTGAAAATGATGCAATATATTTTACAGAAAAAAAAAGTTATGCTTTTTAATAAAAAGCTCATTAGCAGTTTGACGCTATGATGCTCTTCCCAGTCTCTACTTTTAATTTAGCGGTTTTCTTCGCTATTTAAGTATTAAGAACACTCTCGAATTAAGAAAGCAGAAATGGCAAAAAAAATAACGTGATTGATTTTCAGGCTCGAACGTCGATTATAGTTTCCAATTTTACCTGCGAAAAAGATACCCATCAAACCAGTTTTCTCAATTGCGTTATTTTTAATCAAAATTTTGTCAATTATTCTAAAAACTCAAACGTTCAATATTCGAACGTCTTCTAATTGAGACTTTTTTGTTTTTCCCGTGAACCAGTTTTCTTTGTTCACACAACCTCCAATTTCAACGTCCACCAAACCTACTGCTCTGAGAACTGATACCAAAAAAATTTAATTCAGATATGTAACTCACAAAGAAATGTTAGAAGCAATCTTATTGCTTCAAACCGATAAGCCTTTAGAACCCAGTTAAATACCTGTTTGGGCCCTGAAAGACAGTGTGCTAATAATCCACCATATTTTAATTATGATAGTAAACGAATCTCGAAAGCTGAATTTCCACAAGGCTTGAAAAAAGCACATGTTATTCCCGTATTCAAAAAAGGAGATACAGCCGATCCAATCAACTACCAGCCAATTTCTATTACCAGTTGTCGCTAAATTATTTGAAAAAAAATTTTTTCAGCAAAATTATTCGAAAAAATGTTGAATAAACCAATTTTGTTTGATAATAATATCCTTTACACCAAACAAGTTGATTTTAGACACGGTTAATCGACCAATGATGTCTTCTAAACACAACAGAAAAAAATCAGATTCCATCTTGATAAACTTTATGTAGCAGCAGCGGCAATTTTGGATCTCTCGAAAGCGTTTGATTATTTTTCACATCCCTTCCTCGAACAAAAGTTGAGGAATCATGAGTTTGAACCATCAGTCACTGATCTAGTTAAATCTTCTCTAGGAAACAGAACGCAGCAAACAATTGTGAATGGTGCATATTCAGGTTGGCATAAGTTGGAGCAAGGTTTACCTCAGGGTACTGTACTAAGACCTATGCTGTTTAACTTATATGTTAATGATATGCTAGAAATTCTAGACAAGTCATGCACTCTTGTACAGCATACCGATGATACAACACTGCTAAGTTTCCATTCAAATCCGATATCCGCAACACAAATCATTGAATACAGTTTCAAGAGAATACTCTCATATTTTCATTTAAACCAATTAATTATAAACGTACACAAAACTCAGATCATCACTTTCTCTGCTCCATCACGAAACTCACAGAAAACTGCAAGCTGCAAGTAGGAAATTATTTAGTCAAAATATCTGACTCCGTCAAGTTTCTCGCGGTTAACATAGATGCATGTTTAACTTATAAAAAAGAAATTAACCAAGTGTTACAGAAGATGGCTAGTACAATCCAAACAATCAAATGCATTAGAGATGAAATTCCTCCACGAACCAAAATCCTTTTACCCATTACCCTTGTTTTAGGCCATTAACATTATCCATGCATGCTTTTGAATGGTTGTACTGAAGAAAATCTAGACAAGCTGGAAAAGCGGTATACGATCTGTCAAGAACATAAACATGAGAGACTTTGTCACATATGTGAGGGATAATTCCTAGTGCTAGAGATATAATCAAACACAGATCAACACAGTATCTTCATAAATTACGCCAAAACAGAATTAGATCATTCAACTTCCAGCTGTTTCCGAATTCTAATTTTCGCTTTAATCATCGCACCGGTCAATTCTCCTGCAAGGATTGTGTAAAACCGAAATTCTTCGTGAGTCATTTCTATAACATCAATAAAAAATTTTGAACTTGGTAATTCAAAAAATCAAGTCAATGAAGAAAACCTGTACGCTATCAAAAAGATTTATTAAAAACAGGCATACTAGAGGATAAATTAATACATATAAAGGGTAGACTCTACCAACACCCAACTTCTTAAGGAAAGTCTTTTATAATCTTAAATATTCAATGACTGATGGAACCACAATCAGTTGTGTAACTGCAAAAGTTGATGCAACAAAAAGTGATTTTCTCTTTTAAATATGTAAGAACTTGAATTTGTTGTTATTCTTGAATCGTAACAACATCCAGCGTTCTTGCCACTTGATCTTTACTTCTTAAGATCTCGGGTGGAGTGCGAGTTCCGGTCAGATCTCTGTTCTTGCTGTGTATGTGAAACAAAAAAAATTCGTATGCAAGTTTATAATCAATCAGTTTTATTATGGGAAAACGCTTTTCATACAATTCCATATTATAGAAAAATACTAGTCATGAAGTTTTCTTGAACTTGTTTCTACGTATGAACTGTATGGGAATTGTATGTCTAGCATTTTTTGTTAATCCGAGTGATTTAAATTAAAGACTGTTTTGTTTTTTACAAAAGTACTTTTGGAATTCGAGTTAATTTTGATTGATTTGAAATATTTCTCACCTTCAAGCCCCTAGCCCTCCCCTGATCAATGACGTAGAGATTATAAATAGAAACTTAAATTTATAATTATTAGTTTAAGAGTCAAATCCAATCTGAAACGAATAGAATGTTCCAAATAAACCGAAATGTCTCGATCTGACTCATGAAAACATAAATATTTCATTACAACCTAAAAAACAATCTTACATAATGTCTTAGAAATGCTTATAACAAATTCTTTTTAATTTCTACTTAGCTAATTTTATGATTGATTACAATCCAATATTAGATTAAAAATCAGTTAATTTGAGTTTTCTGAAAACTGACAATGAAAATCCAAAATTTTCCCAAGTTTTTCTCAAGTTTCCAAAATTTTCTCATGTAACAATGGAGCGGGATTATTATATTTCTGTTCTAGTCAAAAATCCCAGAAAATGTTCACAACGAGTGAAGCCTTTTTGTACATTACGCGGTCAAACTTTGCACTGGATATGCGCACAATTTGGTGTCTGTAAAATCCTGGATTCCAGAGACAAGTCTAAAAGCATCTTTAAACATATTCCAAAATGTATGTGGATTCCACTTGAAAAAACTCCGTGGATTCCGCGTACAAATACATGTAACGTGAAATTCGTCGGCACATTTGTTTTGTCGCGGATTCTGCAACAGGCGAAAATAGCAAGTTGTTCTGGATTCAGCAACTTTAAGCCACAAAATTTGTAAGCAAAATCCGCTAATGTAAGCATATTCTTCAAACTCTGAGTGGATTCCGCTCATAAATTGCGGATTCCGCAACAGCTCAATTTACTATACCTATATTTTATTATTTGTTTGTGGATTTCACAAACTGTTCCGCATTTAAACTGTCGAGATAAACAACCATCAGCATTAAACAAGTAACTTTTGAAATTTACCGAACGGCCACTAGGCCAACAATGCGTACATTGGAGCCCAAAATATAACTTGAAAATGATGTCATAAAAAAAATTTGAGCGATTAAGTTAGAGCTCATGAGCTTTTATCACAACTGTCCTGAGTTTACAGGTATTAAAAATTGCTAGCCTTCATGGTAAAATTAAAATTTTAGTCATACAATTCCCATTTATGAAAAATTGTTAGTCATAATTCCCATTAACGATAAAATGTCAGTCATATAAATCTCATTTATGATAAACGCTAGTCATACAATTCCCATGACGCGAGAATGGTAATCAATTTTTTTCATTCAATTTTTTTAAGTATGAAATGTATGTGCCATATATGTGAATTGTATGACTAGCATTTTTGGTCGACCCAGGGGATGGCAGTAGGCCTTTCAAATATTGAGATAGCTGCTTCCTTTTTCTCCTCAAAAAGTATCCAGATTTTAATATTGCTGCTTCTTGATCTGTTCAACAAAATTATCTAGTAAATGGTAAAAAGCATTTCAAATATTGACATAGCTGCTTCTTTTTCCCTTTAAAAAGTATCCAGATTTAAATGTTGCGGCTTCTTGATCTCTTCAACAAAATTATCTAGTAAATGGTAAAAAGCATTTCAAATATTGACATAGCTGCTTCTTTTTCCCTTTAAAAAGTATCCAGATTTAAATATTGCGGCTTCTTGATCTCTTCAACAAAATTATCTAGTAAATGGTAAAAAAGCCTTTCAAATATTGAGATAGTCGCTTCTTTTTCCCTTTGAAAATTATCCAGATTTTGATATTGCGTCTTCTTCATCTCTTCCATAATATTCTGATTCTATCTACTCCCAAATGATGGCTGATCGGTAGAAATCGATAACCAACTGGGGGTACTTCTCCACCGCCTCCTGTCTGTGAATCAAGTCCATGTTCTCAGTGTGGCTCCACTTGATCAGGAAGAATGTCTGTCCTTTGTCGTTTTGTCCACACTCGATTATTCTCTGTGCTGGCTGGATGTACTCTTTCAGCTGTTTGCCTTCCGTCTCTTTCTATATCAACAAAAAATAGGCTCGCACCCATTAAACCCAGCCTCGTAGGCCTATTAAACCCAGCTTAGTACGCGTTTAATACATCGGATAAAACGCGTGCAATTAAACAGCCGAACAGAATTTAAGCAGTACACAGATACTGAAAACGAAAACAAAAGTTGAACAAAAATTGGTGCGAGTTAGCTTGGAATTTTTTTTTGTATAACACTACTCTAGAAAAGAGCACTCTAAGACAACCGTTTGCTTGCGTAAAATTCAAAAAAAAACTCAAGTAAGAAAATGGCCTCATGCAAAGTATTCAGCTGTTTGCGGGAATCGATCAAACCAACTTATATTTGAGACTAAGGATAAAAAGTAAAAAAGAACAACAATCTCATTTTCCTAAAGCTTCTGTTCTGATATTTCTTACACGTCTAGTGAATCATATAATAACTAAAATGGACAAATTCACAATTTGTCAATGAGAGTAACCTTTTAACGCAGAAGAAAACGCAAAAACTAAATTTTAAGGCTGGACACTTCAAAAAAAATTACTGAAACATTTCAAAACTTTGGCGCGCAAAATCTTGTTAAGTTCCGCGACAATCGGTAAAATCAAATGGTGATATATTAACAATATGATCGACCCAAAAAATCTGCCCCTGAAAAACCCTAGATTCATTCCTGAATCAAAATTACCTCATCAATATTACCTTCTTGCGGTATGCGGCCTGTTCCAACTTGAGCTGGACAGCCTTCATGACAGTCTCGAAGTCGTCGATCTTCCTGGGACAAGACAGATTAGACTCTGGCTCCCAAGTGGCGTCTAACAAGTCGTATCCCACCCATTTGATATGGTACTCTGGTTTGCCATCTTTTCCTAGACGTTTGTCCAGAATTTTTTCAACCTGCGAAAAATATTTTGTTTTTAAGACTGTTATTTGAGACTTCTATTCTATCTGTCTATTCCGATTTTGGAAAATTTCGACTAAAAATACTATTATCGTCCTCGCTGAAACTTTATTACCATGGCGATAAGCACTGGTTGATTAATCTAGACGTTTTTTTTTCATAAGGTGGTCCAAACATTTCCCTTTAAACTCTTTTAGTGTTAAAGTTACTACCTGATATTCGACTTCAGTCTGTGACTCTGAGTCAGGGGGGTTCAAAGGAGCTCCCCCTCTTTGAACGAAGAATTTGGTGGAGGTTTGAGGCAGAGGAGGAACTGCGGTTGAGGAGGATGCACCACTTGAAGTCATCTTATGCGAAAAAAAAGTTGCAAAAAGCAAAACACAAATCTGAAATAGGGAGTTGTGTTCAAAATGAAAAGAAAAAACTCTTTACACAGAAATAATAAACTCATTTTACAGACTTACCAACATTTCAAATCATATCAAAAATTTTTAATGAGACTACAACTTTTTCTGGTTGCATGGATTATATTTATCTTAGGTTTTTAATAAATTTTTCTTTTTTACTTTATATTTATGCTAAATGAGAAGAATTCCATTTTTATGCACTTTGCAACATTAAACCAACACTAACAGTAATTTACAATCTGTTGCCACCGCTGAAACAGCGAACTGATAACAAACATTCATTCATGAAACAAAAAACTTGATCACGTTAACATGACGTAAAAATTACGTTTTTTGAATATCCTTTTATAAGTTGCGTGTCATTGAATTGTGAACAAAAACTAAAACACGTGTCCCAGCTTCCCCATGGTTCCGAAACATCAGCGCACCTTAGACATTCCTTCTTCCATTTCAGATTTCACAATTCAACTTGACTTTACTCCGTGTCGGTCTATTCTTATCCTAACAATCATTGAAAGCTGAATTTATTAATTTATTATAACTACCAGAGAGTGTTAACTTAGTTATTCATAACAAAAAGTGGTAATGATAGCTCGTTCATTGTTGAGTATTTGGTTGGCAAATTTGATAATAGTGTCTGAATTAACTCGAATCAGTTCCGCAGAAAGTTCTGAACAGAATATGCAGTCTTTTTCATCTTCTTCGTCGACATTTTCTTCGTCCTCAAGTACAGGAAGCTCTCATTCAGGTATATTTGAATCAAAACTACAAAACTTTTCCGTTCCGCGATCATCAACTTAAACATGCGATATCATAACTCTGGCCAAAAAAAACTATGCAACAAAAATGAATACCCCCAAACAAGTCTTAGTTTGTTTCTCTTTTTACCCAAGAATACATAGAACCAAAAAAAAACAAAGACTTGGGTGGGTTTTTAATTTTTGTTGCATGATTTTAGTGATCAGTGTTTTGATATCGCTTGCTTAAATTCTTGTGTCTATGTAATCTAGAGGGTTAATAGAGAAAAAGAGACCACTTCGCCTCTACCCATATTTTTTCAGGTAGTGGGGGTCACTTCTCCCAGTCTTCTAGGACGAGTGAGGATGATGAGTCATGGTATCTGTATCTGCAGATTGAGGGATACAAGCCAGATGAGCTCAACATACATTTAATGGGCAGAAGTCTCACTGTCTCCGGCAAACACGAGCAAGACGAACATGTAAGTGTCTCTTTCACCCCCATAAGAAACAAAAACATGAAATTAACGGTCCAAATAGTGGCGTGCAAAAATTTCTTTGCAAATTAAAAGTTCAGAATTCGGTGTTCTTTTTTTTAGAAAAATTGCAAATCAATGTTTCATAAAAACATTACAAAACGAACTATCCTTAGACAGGCCAGCAGCTTTTAATGAATACTTTGCGGTTTGCAGAAACGAAATAATTATTGCAGAAAAGGAGGAAGTAATTGAATTGACTCTTGGAACGGGCAGCTACAGCGAACAGCTTAAGAGAAGAGAGTCTAAATATACCCTAAAATCTTCACACTTAAATTATGTTTGGAGGCGAACAATTTAAAACTCGGTTATATTTTGAGGTGTTGAACCAGTTCCAGCAGAACTTCATGGTGCCCCAGGGGGTGTTCATGGACACTGTTGAGTCCACTTGGGATCCGAAGGGCAACGAGATCATGATCAGTGGGAGCAAAGTGGAGAACAAGAAGGCAGAACTGCCTCGCAAGATAGAGATCAAGGTCAAGCAGGACAACGTTGAACTCTAAATAAATTCGAGCCTAAAACTTCAATTTAGTTCACGACTCAAACTTGAATCAAGTTTACGCCGCCCAAATTCAAGGACAATCACCTAGACAGAAAATTATACAGAAATGAACATAGTTCGTTTTCGCAAAAGCACTTAAAACGGACAGAGTATATAAAATTGGATCATCTTCACCTTGTAGAAAAAATGACTAAGTAAAAACTTAAACCAAAAATTGCATCTTATTGTTAATTTTGATTAGATGATTTAATATCATGCGCTATAATTTTGTATTAAATTTAGCAAAGAGCAATCATTCGTCTGAATTCAATTATCATGTCAATTGTCTGTTGAATGATCAATACAATTACCAAAAACCTTTTTTAAAGGACATTTTGACCTTTGAAATGCGCGCAAGTAACTACAGAAGCATATTTTGCCCCAGTAGTACTAAAACCTCAATACATTTATTTGCTTTGAATGACAATTCTCTTTCAAACATTCATATAATTAAGTTAATGACATTAGAATGAGAAACTATCTTGATATCAAAGCAGCTTTCTGTATTCTTATTATAATTCCATCACTGTATTCCCTTCCTCGCGTCGAATATGGGTGAGTAAACATACCGTAAAATGTTTTAGACATTTTTTTTTGACATTCGAGTGTTTAGTCCTTCATGAGTATATATTCATATTGGTAAGCATATCAATTGGAGATGTTGCAAATAAATTGAGAAAGAGAAAATCTGAAATTCGAAAAAAGTTAGGAAACAGGAAAATAGAAAAATGACATGTAAAGCATTTGAACAACTAATGCAAAAACACTTAAAAAATTGGTTACAAGAAGGAAGACTGCCCGTATAACATAACGTTCGCAAGTTGACTTGTGTAAAAACTTACAAACAATAGCCAAAGTTTCTTTTCTGAAATTTGGGCCGTGAGGGATGTGATGAGAAGAACTAGAAAAACCTTATAGCGTTAATAAATGAAGCATAATCGACATATAACAAAAAAAAGAAAAATAATTTCTATAGTTTGCAGATTATTTTTTTCAAATGAAGTTTCAAATAGGACTAAAAAGCAAACATTCCTGACCAATTTTTTCGACAGCGAAGAAAAATTATTGACATTTTTATATGCCGTTCGAATAAGAAATGGGCTTTTAATGGGATATATTAAAAATGGGCTTCTAAAATATACCAATTGATCCATTCTGATGATTTATTTGATGATTTTGCATAGAAAAAACAAAACCAATGTTTTCACACAGAGGCGAAGCGAAGCTTCGCATCACTTGCAATACAACTTAAGTGCAGCATTGCAAGCTAGTGAATAGAAAATGAGACGAAAAAAAACATCAAAAAAATAGGAAAAATGAAAACAATTTTCAGAAAAACAGTGAAAAACAATGAAAATAATTTAGGAGAAACAGTCGAAAAACAAAACTACCAGTTATAAATAAGCTTTAGTATTTACCGAGCTATCACTGAGCCAACAAAAAAAAAGGTTAAACGCATATTGAGCCGAAACCAAAAATGACCCAACAAATCTTGACAAAAAATGTTGGGCAATCAAGTTTTAAAACTTTGAAATTTTGCAATGCAAACTTGATTTTTTTAATCAATCGTTTTTTACCCCTGAAGCGAAACGAAATAAGGTAAGCACTCCAATAAAACCAGAAACCATTGAGGCCGAATAAAGTTAAAAATAAGCAAAAATGAAAACCAAGGAATATACAACGTCAAGGCGATTAATTTTACAAATTACAGGGGTTAATCAAAAACACTTGCATCTACGACAAAAATTGCTGACAGCACAAGATATTCCCCGATGTGGCAACTAAGCAGACAGAACATAAGCAGACAAACGAAAACCGTAAAAATCAATTTTCCCGGGAAAAAATTTCTTTCATACTGAAAAAAAAAGATCCGGCCGGGAGACAAACCCCAGACCTTAGGGTAAACGGCGACTGCGTTACCTCGAGGCCAGGAGTCTCAAAGTTGCTAAGATTCACTAATAAAGCAACTTCAAGTTCTTACAGATTTCTAAAAAAAAAATTTTCACGGAAAAAAAGTTTCGTTCCCCATCACAAAACACTTGCTCTCGCAAGTCGCAAGTGTAATCATGGTCATCGCTGAAGAAAATTCCAAAAAAACAAACGTTTCAAAAACGTTTGCTTTAACCACTCAACGTGATTTTTTATACTCACCAATCAATGAAATTCTAAAGCGTAATTTAAATCGTCTCAGATCTCAACTGGAAAAACTTTTTCGGATTGTTTTGTTTTAAACCTATAACTCAGACAAAAATTTATATACAAAATTTGCAAAATCTTTTGTTATATGTGATATTGCGATAAAAAAATATTCAAAAACTTTTCACCGACAATGAGCGGTCAGACAGCCTCGGTGTCCTTTAGAATCAATATCATTCTAAAAAAACTACCGACAAAAGATGTGTGAAACACTATTTTTCCGAATTATTTGAATCCAAAAGCCTTTTGAAACTGAATTTTGTTTATCAAAGTATTGTGACATCGAGCTTACAAATCCCTCAGTTGAATGATAGAAAAAATGAAATGTATTATAACATAATAAGTTGCTCGTAGCATAATAAATGGAAAGCGATACAAATATGAATGACAATGATTAAAATCAAACGGGAAAAAATGAAGAAAAAAGTTCAAAAAATTGTTTGTCAATAAAAATCGGAAAAAAGCAAAAAAAAAAACGAAACAGAATTGCCTGCACCATTAGAAACTGTACAAAAAGCTTCGGGAAAGCTATAAAGAAGCCAAATTTTCAAAAAAAGTCCTTTCTGCGGAACTACGCAGACAAACATAGGCAGACAGACAATAATTTAAAAAAAGGGCCCAACCTGGCTCCAGATGCGCCGAGGGGTTGATTGGATTTGAATTTATATTTACCAAGCGGCAACAAAGCCGAAAATACTTGAGCAGAAACACTTCATGCTGGAAAAAAACCAAGAAAATTTTTAACTTATAAAAAAGTTCTTTTTCCCTCAGAGCACACAGACGCGTCAGTTTTTTTCCGATCGTAGCTACGCAATAAGAGGCCACTAAGTCGATATCATTTAAGCCAAAATTATTAAGCCCATAAACAAGATTATAAAAAATGAAGAAAAAAACGAGTGAAATTATAGCAAATCGGTGGTAAAATTACAGCCAATGGGAAAAGCAAATGTCGATTCGGCCGGAAATCTTAAAATGGTAAAAGCAACTGCAGTGAAAATTGTTTGCAGCAAAAATAAACGACTCTTAGATGTTGCAACTAATCCGACAAAACATCAGCAGACCATCATTAGGCCAAATTGTTTTGGAACCTGAATATTTACCGTTTGAAAAAAATAACTGGTCCTGGTCAGATTCAACCCAGGACCTTTGCAGTCCCAGACATATTTATTACTAGCGGGCAATGTGCAAGAGACTGCAAAATTTGAATTCATTATGAACCAAGGTACCACCAGGAGTCCAATGAGTCTTGTGGACAAAGTTGTTCACGGGAAAAAAAGTCTAGTACCCGATTGCAATACCCTTGCTTATCGCAAGGGTAACAATATACAAATTTGAGCGCAAAAAAAAGAAAAAAAATCTTGAGTATTTGAAGACTAAGTATACGAAAATTAGTTTGCAAAAAGATAAGATCACGGTCGGATTCAAAACCATGGACCTTTGATGCCCAATGCATTGACGTTACGTCTGCGGCAAACGTGCAGAATAAGACGCTGAAATTGAAGTGATTCTTAATCAAGCTATCAAACGATTCAGTTATTCTGTGAGACAAGTTAAGCTGGTCTATGTTCCGATTTGATAACTGAGGCTCCTTACATTTCGATGCATCATATGAAATTCACTCCCACATTTTTTATTGGTTGTTTCCATCGTGCAAAAATGGTTGCTACAGTTTTTAACCTCTCCAAAGCTCAGTTTTTTTGGATTGACCGATCAATCGAATCCACCTAAATGTAAGCAAGCAATAATTAAAACCTGCTTAACGAAATTTAAAAAACCCACCTCAATTGAAAACCCTAGAACAATTTAGATCAATCAAACTCACATGTTCAATGAAAAAAAAATCTTTCACAAGGTATTTCGAATTCGAACCACGCTAGGGGGCGATTGCACGGCTGATAATTTTTTTTCAGTTCAAATAGATATCATTTCAGCGAGTGTTCAGCACCTGGCAAAAACGTCACCTGTGAACTGTGGTATGACTGGAAAAGACTGGCAACTGAGAGCAAGTAAGAATCAATCAGAACACTATTATGCTCCTTTTGGTACAATTTAAACACGAAAAGATCAAATTGAAACACAGAGACGAAGCTGAGAGTTTCACACCACTTGCGATACAAAACAAGAAATCCGCTATGTTACAAAAATCAAAAAAAAATAGATCTGTCAAATAAAAATATAGCTAGTTTTCAAATAAAAATATAAAAAGACAATTGAATGTGAAATAAGCATCGGAAGAATTCGACCACGTTTTTTGCGACTTTTACATTTTGCTTTTCAATATTGGAGTTCTCATTCCTTTTAACAGAGGAAATGAATTGAACTTATAAACAAATCAAACGTCAAACCCCGAAAAATCAAACTTTAGCGTAAACAAATTCTAAAGACTTTTTCCTGAAAAAAAAAATCACCAAGACCTATATAAGAGTATTCACTATGTTCATGACTTTTAATAAGGGCAAGAACAGATATCTTTTTTTGACTTTCAGCTCCTCTTCAAACAACAGCCTATTATTTAATAGGTTTTTTAATGTTAAAAAACTCATGGAATCGTTTTAACTCCATGTTAACGGTAAACCTTAGATGCACGCATTATCCAATTACATTAAAACTCTTTTCATTTCTGCATATCAGATCATTATTCGATTCCTGTCTTTCTGCAATTCATGTTTCAACATATTATGCCGCCTTTTGTAGCCGTCGGAGCAGACGGAGTGTGATAGGAGTGTGCTGTGTTCGTTGTTGCATCCAAGAGGGGGACATCTGCCAGCTGATAGAGGACCCCCAGATGACAGGCCAGACTGTGGCAGTGTTTAAGTGCACCACCGAGATCACACCTCCCAAGTGGACCAGAGACTACACTTACTCTGCATAGATGCATCATGCACACACGCAAAAAAAAACTTCTTCATGACTATGATTCGCCAAAAAAACTTGCACCAAACTTTTGTCATAGATCTTCCCTAGCCAAGCCAAAACTTGAATAAAAGAGAACAAAATTTAAAAACAAACATGAAAAATAATTTAAATTTTTACATAGCCGCGAAGTTGCCTTTCGCATACACAAGCAAAACTATGACCGATAACTCTACTGGGAAAAACTGAATATGTAAAACTTTGAGTCTTCAAAATTTCTTAACTAGTATACAAAAAGTTCATTTAAAACAGCATTTTAACTAGTATACGAAAAAATTTATTTAAAACGTCCGACCATGCCCAGGTTCAAACCCTCTTATTTTGTTGCGGGTCTCCTTCCCAGCCGCTACGCTACATATTCATGAATACTTGAAGCTAAAGTGTTATTTGTATTATGAATATCGTGCTATTTATTATCCTTAGCATTTACTGCACTTAATAGCTGGTTATTGATCAAAATGAACGCTTTCAAAATGAACACTAGTATTTGCGACTTAGATTGAAAAAAAAAATAAGTTGATACTATCACACAAGCTTTGCTTGAGCAAATTAAGATTATCTGGTGGCTGTGGCAAGTTGCACACTATCTTTCAAAACAAAAAAAAGACAGACCACAATAGCATCAGAACATAATTGCTTGATACATCCATAATGCATTGAGATTTGAACCAAACTGACAACGATAATAATAAATTTACTTCCTGCAAATCGCAGAGGAGCAATCAGTAGGTCCTAACAGTCATGACTAGAGATAATCCATTTGTTATTTCTCCAAAATTCAGACTGAGCGAAGCTCTTTTGTTTTTATTTTGTTAAGCGACGATGTTTTGCAACTCAAGGCCGTTATTGCCGCCGAAATTGGACAAGCTGTGGTAGACCTGAAGCTAGATATCGATCGAGAGCTCGTCCTCAAACACCACCATTTCCAAGGCAGGGCTCAAACTCTCTAACTGAGGATCTCAAAAGTGAACGCCTTGTCACTATGCTAAACGCCCTGCTAATCTTCAAAATTTGCCAGAAGACACGTTGAGCGAAAATGAGCTAACAAAAACCGCATCAAAACTTCGGTTGAATCAGAAAAAAAAACATTGTAGCCAACACACTATTGGCAAATGTCAGTTATTCTCAAGGAAGCCGAAATAAAGACTTCAACCTTTAGAGTTTCGAAGAAAACATAGCCAAAAGACAGCTGGAAAAGAGTCCATGAATTCAATTGAACAGAAAAAAATCTTATTTCGAATTCAAAAGTCGATCACGTTTTTCGTGACCTTAACCCTTTCGATGTTCAATAGTGGAGTTTGCCTTCCTTTTAACAAAGTTAATGAACTGAGCCTAAAAAGAAATCAAAAGTCATACCTCAAAAAGTAATTTTGAGATTGAACAAATTATAAGACTGTTGCCAAAAAAAATCATCACGGCTGAAAAAATCATCATATTAAAACTCTTTTCAAAGTTAAGGTCAATGACCTTTTTACGCTATTTTCAATTTTGTAATAGTTTAAGCATAGTTCGCTTGCATTTGGTTAAAAAAGTGAAATTTAAAAAAATAAAAATCGCACCCCAAACACAAAAACCTAAGCGCTAAAATTAAAATTCTAATGTCTAATAATCAACAGCCTTTGAAAAAGGAGAGTGTTTAGATAAATTTGAGTCAATTTTGGGTTCAAATCGTACTTGCGCTACATTTTTGAAAGGTGAGCTATTGCAAGCAAGCCCTACCTCAATGGGCGCTAGTTATATCCGCTCTTGACATCTTGAACAATTAACCTCCGGGTTAGGCTTCCAGGCTGTTTGACAAAAAAATAAGAGAAAACCAAGTTAATGACTAACTTTTTCCGCAAGGGATTCTTAAAAAAATCCGATTTCAAACCTTTAATTCATTAATATTTTTCATGCACTTGGCAATTTTGTAACAGGCGAGACCAACCAGCAGTCAAAGATTAAGCATAAACAACTTTAAAATTTTTTTCCTGAAAAAAACTCAAGAGCCTAAGTAAAAATCACTTCTTGCATTAACATTTAATAAAATCCGTTGTTCTATATAATTGTGTAATTTCAAAGCAACGACCCGAAAATTTAACAATTCGATCATCTCATTGCCGCTTGACGAACCTCGTCGACGACCATGTCAGTTCCCTTTCACCCGTTGGTGTCAAAAACAGACTTCTAAACTAATACTGGATCCATTAGCGTTCCAAGTACAACAAAAATTATTCCTGCACCTGGATAGTTCTCTGCCTCTGCAACAATAGCAGACAATTAACTTTTTAACTGTCGTCATATTTCATACTTACAGGGAGGAATCCCTCCATCTTTTGATGTAACTTGGAACGCATTATTTTTTATTTTTATGAGCAAAGCAAGGTCGTTTGTGAACATGATTTTCATCGCGCCAATCAGAAATAACAGCAGCGTGTTCAAGTGTAAATGGATGTATAAGACGGCCGACCTCAAAGAATATTCTAAAGAACCTAATTTCCCTAGTACTGGAGAACATTCTTAGCATTAAAAGTACCAGCCTCTTTAGTTTATAGGATATAGGCTGTACAGATACTTTCCACTGATCTTGATGAAAAAATATTTGAAATCAAAATGGGTATCACCTTTTTATTGGAAGTGGGTTTCAAGGTTTATAAAAAATTGCAGTATCAAACCAACTAGCATTTTTATACAATTATACTTCGGGAAGCAAGAGCCATCGCTTCTTTTAGCAAATCTATACACATTTTTACAATATTCAATATTACAGTAGATCAATATTTAACAATTTTACACTTTTCAGCGAAAAATACTTTGTTGCGGCAAGTGTTTTGTATAATTACAGAATAAAATATCAACAAGCTGACATAACAATCTTCACTTTTTATCATGGTCTTAAGACAAATCGACTAGAAATGAAATTTTCCAAAAGAGCCAAAAAGCCCTAAAAACAACCATATTCGGCCTGTTGTTATTTCATCATTATAGTCTTAGATTCCCCCTCCCCATAAATTCTTTCACCAGAACAAAATAGCCCCAACAGATCCGGGATAGTCAGGTGACCCGATGAACACTGAGAAGTCGTCAACAAATAAACTATCAATCGATATCGGATTTCTGTGCAGAACGATTGCTTCTTTCTCACTATCTATGCCCGCATCTGTAATCAATGGCTGCAACACTCTTTGCGGATCTGATCTGAATAACAACTGTTTTCTGTCTGTCGATTCACTAGAATTGGTTGCAATTACACTCTGCATAGTCTTGGCAACAGACAAGTTCCAAATGATTATTCTTCTTTGATCACCTGTGCTGATTAATTGGCGTCCTCGTTGGATGACGAGCTTCCTCACTATTCCTGAAATATAATAAAGAATTCCCTCAATAAATGTAGCTGGGAAAGAAACCAAACAAAAAGAAAAACAACCAAAGAGCGCAGAAAAATAACCAAAAACAAATTGAGCTCTTAAGGAGGTTAACATCAGCGTTTATCCGCTCGTTTGTGGATACTTCTCCTCAATGACAAATGTTTCAAAAATCTAAGGACATACTTTGAAAAAAAAGATATCATAATTTGGTATTATGTTTAAATCTTAAAACTTACACAAGTATTATAATTGGAAACTGTTTTTCTAACCTACGTGACCTGTGAGCACTCTCAACAAGTGACCAGTCTCCGAATGCCACACTCTTATGTCTCCATCTGACCCTCCACTGACCAGATGCACCTAATAGGATAGAATAGTCTACAAACAGTTGAGAAAGTGTCAATGAACAAAAGGTAACCGAAAAAAAACTCTTTAAACATTTTTCAAACTTTAATTTTCGGAGAAAAAAGAAATCAAAGGAAATCACGTCAGAACTTCGTACCTGTGTCACAGCTCATTTCATTGCTGCACTAGATAAAATTGTGGCATTTAGGGGTTTGGTAGATTTTAACGGAAGGAATGCGCCAAAATTATACTGTTTGATATTTTGATTTGTCCATTTGGTCCAACATATTATACAGTTTATGCATATCTTTGCAATAAAATGCATGGAACTTTGCATCTTTTTCAATCAGAGATGTCCATTTCAAAATATGAAATGGTACAAAAAATTATGATCATTGTTGGCATCAATTTAAACTTTTATTTAACAATTCAAATTTTTCAGATACAAAACGTAAAACTATAAGCCTCATCAATTTAGTGAGACTAAAACTCTGAAATTTTTAGCCGGTTTGTATCGAAACTGACGGTACTTCTGAAAATTTCCAAACGACGTTCGAAGCGCAACTGAAAGGGCTCTGATGTGATTTATCACTCGATATCCGGTGATTATTTGCGGTACCTGATTTTGCGCGGAAAACAAAAGAGAAAAGGTAACTAAAGCACACCCGAGGACAGAGTTCCTCTTCTCTTTCAATGGTCGGAATTAGAATCAATTCTACCCTCCGATAACTTATGTTCCGGAAAAATTATGTTCCATTATCCCATTTCGCACACGCTCTACTCAGCGCTTTGTCATCAAGAATAATTATCTTCTTGCCACTACACTGCCACTAGACTCAACCATATTGCCTCAAAAGGCAGGCTAAGCGATGAAAACTTTGAAAGCTAAATTGGGTTCACCATTCAAATTTATAAGAAAAGTTTTGCGAGAAAAAAAGCCAGTTCCCGATTCCAAGAAACTTGCTCTCACACATTAACATAGCAGTAAAAGGGTCAAAAACGAAAAAAAAAAGGAAGCAAGGATGTCAAAAATAAAAAGTCAGCCATACGGAATCAAACCCACGACCTCGAAAATGAGAGTCGCAGGCCCTAGCATCAGCGCCATGATCAGAAGACAACCTGCAAAATCTAGCTACCACTAGTCCAGATACAAAGATTTAATGCTATGCAGTAAAAGAAAAAATAAAAAAATAGGTACAATGCTATTGCTGCAAAAGTGCAAGCAACCAAATGAGCTTTTTTATTTGCGACTTAGGTTGAAAAAATCCACTCCTAATATAATACTACGTTCGCTAGCGTGATTGTGTAATTAAGTTTAGTTGAATCGCAAACTGTTTTTGTCAATTTTTCAAATAAGAGAAGCGAAAAATTATACTTTAATTAACAATTTACCTCATCTGCAGTGTGAGGGTGCGTGAAGTATGCTAGACAGTACACTTCAGGAGGGTGGTCCATCACTCTCTCACACCACAGACTCACTGACATGTTCTCACACAGCTGCTCACTGGTGGTAGCGGCACTCGACTGATGCGAGGAGGTGGATGAGGTGGTACCTAAAATGTTTCCTGTAATTCATTACATTGTGAATTGAAAATACTTTCTTCAACGAGCCAAAAAAGAAAGGATAGTTTACCATACCAGTCTCTCAATTTATTGGGTTAATAAGACTTTATCAAAAATGTATTTAAAGAGTGGTTTAGGTCCACAGAAACTGTTGAATTTTATGACCACGAAAAAAAATTGTAGCCTTTGTCACAGAGTGTCAGAGCTTCGCACCACCTGCGATACGTAAAAAAAGAACGGTAGCAAGGCGAAAAAAAATAGTAAAAGAGCTACTAAGTCGAAATTTTTTAGTGAAAAAAATATATCGATTTTTAAAATTTGTCTCGAAGGTGGTTGATTTCGAAAAAAGATACTGAGAAACACAAGTTTTTTTGTTGTTATAAAAGCAACAACAAAAAATTGGAGGAAACAACCATTTAAAAAGCAATCATGCTCAAAAATTTTTTTCCGGCATTCCATCAGAACAGACATACCAACTGATTGAACTGATTTTCTTAACTAGTTGTTAGCCCGAAAAAAGTATACATTCCGATTTGATAACGCTTGCTAATCACAACCGTAATGAAACGCAGTTTTTCATTAATACCTGAAGATCTCTTGCGCTGATACTTTTCTTGTTAGTTGAAATGACTTAGATATATATTTTTTTCAGATCAAACATGAACCTGATTTCTTGTCTTAATCTAGGAATCAACCTTCTTCAGGCCATAATCTCTTCTCGCGAATTCTTATATAGCTAGGTTCTTTAGTCAATAATTTTGGCTTGCTTTCATTGCAAAAACAAAACCTTAATTGTTACTTTTTTGAACTACCAGCCTAGCGTACCTGATTCGGCGTCTTTATCGACCAGGTTCAATTTCCACACGACCAACTTGCCATCCGCTCCGCCAGTGTAAAATGTATTCCTGGAGGGATCGAACGTGCCACAATAACACACATCACAAACATTGCTAATTTTCAGAAGACAAGTTGCAGTCATGAGGTGGTAGATGACTACAGGACACTCGTATGACGAGACAAATAACATCTTGTCACTTTCAAGGAACAAATTAACATTCGGCAATTTAACGAAAAACTTAAGGTTCTGAAACTGTGTTAAGCTTCGTAAAGAGTAATGTACGCAAGGAAACTGAAAAAACCGACTTGTTTTTTTCAAAAATCTTCAAATTTTGAATTTCGAAGAAATTAGATGGCCTTAAAGCTCTTTGAATTTGTAGATCAATTTATGATCGACACTTTTTAGTTAAAACTGACCCAACTTCAGAAAACTGGATCAATAGGTATAACTTTAACTTCGCTGGTAAATCTGATAATTAACTTCCAATTTCGAAATTAGAAGTCGATCACGTTTTCGTGACCTTTAAACTTTTGCTGTTCAATAGTGGACTTTGCCTTCCTTTTAACAAAGGAAATGAAATGAGCTTAAAAAGAAATCAAAAGTCCAATTGCGAAAAATCACTGCCAATTTAGCCATGCTCTGGACTAACTTAAGCGCACTGAAAATTGTCTTCATAATGATGAAAACATATCGCGAAATATTATGCTTGGCGGACTGTCCCGCGCAACAAAATCGTTCCAAATTGAATTGAGGCTAGCTAACCGGTGCTACTAATTTATTAAGACTCAATTATTTTCCACACTTTATCTTCGATATTGTCCAAAATTTATTGTTTTTCAATATTTCCTTTTCTTACAAACTATGCAATATGGACTAAGGGGCAGTCGGAACATTCAGTGCTTTGCTCTGATATACGAGCAGTCTTGTTTTTTTATTTCAAAAAGTTTTTGATAAAATTTTTGATACTATCTGAGAGAGATTGTTACCCTAAGCTCAAATTTAAAAAGATATTTCATCTGTTTATATTTTTCGTAAAGTTACGGGCGTTTGAAAATTGCTAGTTTGCCAATTTGGGATAATTAAAGTGCGATATATTGCGTACTTTTAACACTAGTAAGGAGCGAATTAATGCGTTCCAAATTTAATTGAGGCAAGCAATTTAATCATATTATCACAATACGAGAAGCTAAACACACCCTTGTTTTACATATCATGTGGGGAAATAAACTTTAGATGAAATGAAAAAAAAAAACTTTCTTCCTTATTGTCAATTATTAAAACAAACAATTTTTCAATTAGCCTTAAGTGCAGTCGGAACGTTCAGGGCTTTGCCCTGATATACGAGAAGTCTTCTTTAATTGAAAGCCCAATTTTTTGGTAAACGTGTAAAATTTAATTTTTTAATTAACATTTCATCTGGCTGAGTAATTGATATACAAAAACTATTTTTAGTGGCATGTACAAGTGATTGAAAAAGAAACGACTATATTATGCATATTAGTTCTCAAATTTAATACATAACACTCCTAATATATTTCTCAAAATTACCACCTACTGTAACATATCACCCTTTAACACTTAGCAAATCATAAAGACCTATATAAGTTAAAATCGTTTCGTTCTGTGACAATTACAAAAATGGATGCTAAATAAAAATGGATGCTAAATCGAAAGCTTTTTTGTAATTTGATCCCTGCCTGTCCAGTTCCGATTTCAAATCGAAAGCTCCGCATGAAAACAAGAAAACGCGTTCTGTATCGTCAGTTGCCAGTGTGAAACGTTGCACGAGGTCCACAGCTACAACTGAGTCCAAATTTGGCCAGCTTTCTTTTTGATCCGTTTCGCTTTGAGACAAATTAAATACGATCCTTATTACACTAACACTGCTGTGGTGGCTAACACAAATCGCAAGTAAAGAAACGAACTGTAAGTTTTCTCGATCGTTACAAAATGATTCAGAGAATTCTGTCGGAAATGGTTCTAGATCGCTCAAAATCAGGGATTTTGTGTCTGTATCTGCGATTGGACAAGTCCAAAATTTGGACACTGGTGGTTCCGTTGGGTTGGAGGGCAGCTTCGGAGGTACGTTCACCAAATGCAGAAAACCTGTCAATCAAAACATTTATCAAAACATTGATCCCAAAAATTTATATAGCATCAGCCTTATCACGTAACTCATTTGATTGAGAAAACATTTCAGAAGTTTTATAAAACTTTGCTTTGAACTTGAAAAAAAAAACGTTCAGCTCAAACTTTTCGCGTTTAGTTTTTCACAATAATCATGTCTTCATTTAACAAAGAACAAATAGGTCCTCGTAATTTTAATTTAAAAACAAAAAACTCGCCATTTGTATCAACGAGACATATCATGGACTGTCCGATTAACTGCATACAGAGCAGACAATCCATACTGATCAGTTTATAGTGGACGAAGAAATCTCGGCTGTACATGAATACATATCCGTCCTTCCCACAGGAGAGCACACTGTTCTGGGTGGCCACTACTCCTGTCACGTGTTTAGTGTGACACCTGGAACTGATTGGGTGGTAGCGGCCAGTCATCCAGTTTCTATCACAGTCAGAGATGTCAATTTTTAACATAATTAGAAGTCTTAATTTCCTACACAGTCAGAGCTGTCTATTTTACAAATTTTTCTAGTCTTTTCAAAAGGTCTTACAAAAAATGACTTAACCGTTCCAAATGTTTAAAAGCTTTTCGTATTTCAAAACTCAAATGCTAACTCAGAATTTTAACCAAAATCAGATATTTGAGAGCCATTCTTGTTTTAAATCTGAAATGAAGTGAACTTGACAACTACTTCGGCCTAATTCGCACTAGGAATATACTATCATGTTTCTCGTTTAGTGAACGGTAAGACAACTATGCGACTTGTTGATTTTACAACAAATTTTGGGCCTTGGAAAATTCTGATCCAATTATGAAGTAACACAAAACTTTAAGCAAACCTTCAAGTTCGAGAAATTTAAAACAAAGAGATTGATGGGCTTTCGAAAATCTTTAAAGACATTCATCGAGTTAGTTGAAATCTACAAAACAAAATACAAGACTCCCTATCTTCTCTTAATTAAGCAAAAAATACTAATTTAAAGGGCATCACTGATTGAGGCCGTAGGTCTTGATGTAGCCCCGTAGCCAATCAGGGTTCTCAATTGTGCCCAGCAGATCTCTGGTCTCTTTTGGAAAGTTCAGTGCTTGACTTGGACAGGTAGGCGATGTCTGGAAAGCACCAGCAGAGCAGTGATTGCAGTGGATTTGTGGCTTCACGAAAATCTAAAATAAAAGCCCAGAATCAAATCGAAAATTTCGAATAGCGCAGTTTGCTGAAAATATTTTCTTGATATCCTTTAGGACCATATTTAAAAAATAATAAAGACAGCGCCAAAAAAAGGAGCTTGATTGGTAATATCGAACTTAACTTAACCAATTTAAAATTGAATTGCTAAAAGAACTTAAATTTATAAGGTCTATTTGTCAGCCTCGCCTTTTTTACTTCGCTTTTATTGATTGCACGAATTATAGTTACTAATGGATGCTGTGAGTGACGCCGGAGTTGCACCAGATTGAGGGTGAAGACTAGCAGCAGTTGCTGCTGAGAGTGGACGATTTTTTGGAGTCTTAGGCAACAAAGGTTAACCAAAGTCAGTTGCACAAGACAGACAGGTTTAATAAGCTTATGGCTTCAGGTGTGAACCTCAATGAGCGGCTGAGAGAACAGGAAAGGCATTCGAGAAAGAAATGTGTAGTCGCATTTAACCCCCCTTTGATGCAAAAAATGTAAAAATTTGGCAAAAAACTTTATTTAGTTTCGTAAAAAAAATTTGATTGTAGATGTCATTGATAGTGAGATAGAATTTCATCAAGTGTTGCCAATTCGTACAAAGTTGCCTGATGGTATGATGCCAATAAAGATGATTTGTATTGTTAAAGAAAAAAATTGAAAAATTAAGATAAATACAATTATAAACTTAAAAAACATCTATATGAATGAGTGCGTACCACATTTAGAGGCTTCCCTTTACAAAAATTGCAGTCTCGCTAGTTTCTACGAAAAAACTGCAATACATCTGTTCTTTACTCCGACAACAAAGATGCTGGCAATAGAACGCGGATTCAGGTGAAATCCCCTAAAGATTTACTAACACATGACAAAACCCGGTATTTAAATCCAGAATCGGTACTCTGAAGGGAAATTTTCTTCTAGTGCTAACCCTTCCAAGAGAAACTTTGCTTCTGCGACGAGTGATGCAAGTTTTTTGCTAATTTTTCTCTCAAATAGAAAATAAAAAAAAACAAATAACAAATTCCCTGAATCAAATGACTAGTTCTTGCTTATTTGTGAGTGACTATCTGTTGAGATTACTAAGTTGCTGCTTTTCAATGAAAAAAAAATGTTTTATGGCTAATAGTTAGTTTTGAAACACAGATCGGTCATGCGCCCAAAAATTGAATTAAAAAAACGTTCGTTAGACTGCTATTATTGGAAAAACGTTTGCTGATAAGTTAATACAACCAATGTTTTACATGAAAAACCCGTTATTTTACTTTTCAACCGCCTCATTTATTCGATGCTGCGTAAAATTGATTGAATCGGATGAATGAAGTAAAGTAATGTGTCATTACTTACCTTCATCAGTGATGTCAGACAGTGTTTCATTTTTGAACGTATGATTGATCTTTCTTTTCAAACAGTTTTCTATTACCTTTGAATGAAAGTATTAACGTTTTAATATTCTTTTCACACAACTTTCTTCTAGAAAAGCAAAACATCAATCAATTATGATCGATAAGATTTTTGAAATTTAATTGTCCGCCAAAAAATTTCGCTTATTAGTGAAGAAACTATTATAATGAAAAACCACATCATGCCAAAAACAAATAACTTAAAACATAGCCAATAGACAGTTGGAAACGAGTCAATGAATGCAAGGAAACAGAAAAGAAAATATGATTTTTTTGGAAAAATAGTCTTCCGAGCTTAAGATCAATAAGTGAGAATACTAGATCAATAACTATTTTTTAAACCGCTAGAAAATCAAATCAGAAGACTTTACTCCACTTTCGAAACTAGAAGCCGATCATGTTTTTGTGGCCTTCACACTTTCATAGTTGGAAAACGCAACTTACCGAACTTTCAGCAGATGAAACTGAATTGAACTCAAATAGTGTATTTATATCTAGAAGCATTTAAAAATCCATTTTTGTATGGCTGCACTTCAATAAGTTATTAGAGCATTTTACTACTTTTCCTAAAAAAATCATCACGGCTTATACAAAAACCTCTTGTCTGATCGAAGCGATTTTCCGCGAAGTTAGACTTGTTTGAAATTATCTAGCTACATTTCCATGATCTTCCAAATTTAAAATTGGATGTGGGGATAGCAAAAACATTTCCACTGACATCTCAAATTCATGTCTAATGTGAAAATTTCATTTCTTCATCTCAAATTAATTATTAAAACCTAAAGTTAGTCGTTTATTGACTGCTCCTGTATTTGAATTTTGTTTATCTGAAATCAATCTACAATAGGATACAGTTTGTCTCCACGAGCTCTGAACACACAAACAATACGCTCATAGAAATTTAAAATTTTAGCTATAAGCGACGAAAAACCGTAAATCAAAAAACTAAGAGCAGCATTGAGAAAAAATCTAAACAAATAAACCCACTGAAAATCGATCTGCTTTTTCTACAAAATACACGCAATGTTTGATCAAAAAGATTTCCGGCTCGTTGACATCCATCTTTTTACCACTTTGATATATTTCGGCTTTTTTGGCATCACTTCAGAGGACAATCAAACTTCTGTCTTTGTTTTTTTTTTTAAATGTGTGCTTCTGAAATATTCATAATTTCGCTCTTTAACTTTAATAATAGTACAACTCGTTTTTTGTCGACCAAATATATTTCCTCACCCTGTACTTGAACAATTTCAATCCCTGCTGTCCCCGCAACAAATTTCTCCACAGTTCCCATCTGTTCAAGATCAGTTGGCGGAATCTGTTATTCGCAGCTGATAATTGGAGTAACTCGAACGCAGATAAATAGGACAGAACTTGCATCAACACGGTTTCTGGTAAAGTCTCAAAATTGCACACTTGTATGCATCGAGTTTGAAGATCTATAAAACAATTTTCCCACAACTTCAACTTATGGTTTCTGGAGTGATAAAAACATTCCAGAGGAAATAGTAAAATAAATGAAAAAAATCTATGCAGAGGCTTAATAATAAACTGAACAGGAGAATGACCTTTGAAGATTTTTTTAGAGAATGCTGTCGTAAAATAGTACCAAAGAGGAGACCGTCTGAACAATTTTGGCAACTTCAATCAAGGGGGAGGGATGGTTCCCCTCCCTCGTTGCGGTACCGCCCCACCCGTTGTTCCACTGAATCTCCTACCTGTCTCCGATACTTCAACAATGTCGACATCTGCGAGTGAAATTACATGGTTATTTTCTCTTTGAGTTGGCGGCGGAGGCCGAGGCGATGGCGCCACATTGCAACATGAGTCATCAGTAGTTGTGGTATTGCATCCTTGTATTTTAACTGCATTTGAGCGTAGTTTCACAACAGTAGTTTCCATTATTTACAGCCTGAAAGGGAGAGCTAAAACCTAAATTAATGCCATTTAACTAAGACGAGAAATGGTGACCTATTATCCTACTACCACTCAAAGCTTATAAAAGTGCGACATAATTAATTGAAAAGTATTTAAAACAAAAAATTTGAAAAAGAGAAAACCGTTTAAATAGACTGATTTTTTAAAGATTTTTCATAGAAAAACATAGCCAACAGAATGTTGGAAAAGTGCAAGAGAACAGGGAAACCGAAAAAACGATTGAAAATTTTTGAATATTTGACTTTCGGTATTCGAAGAACAAAGTATCAGGTTAAAGCTCTTTGGATTTCAAGAACCACACATGATTGACCCTTGTTTTTGATGAAATTAACCAAATTGAAGACAAATGGATCAATGGTAAGTTTATTATTCCGCTTGCAAAACTAAAATCTCACATCCACTTTCGAAGCTAAAAACAGTTCACAATTTTTCACGCCATTTCTGTTTTTGTAGTTGAGTAGCGCTTTTTTCATTCTAAAAGCAGAAATTACACAGAGGCGAAAAAGAGCTTCGCATCATTTGCGATAATCACAAATATAAAAAATAAGTCGAACAAATATAAAAAATAATCACAAATAAAAAAATGATATATAATGAAAACCAGGTCTAGCAAAAATTTCATGTATGTCAATAAAATTTCAATCTGAGCAAACAAGCCAAGCATTTGGATTTAAAACACTACCAAAGGAACAAATTCCCGATTAAAAGACTTCGACAAGAATAATTTTTCATCATTGTTTAAGGACAATTATACTGTTACAACCTACCTGTGACAATTATACTGTGATAACGGTTCATGAAAAAAAGTATAACAGATTATAAGAACAACAAGGATAGCCGGTTAATGTGCAAGTAGCAAAAAATGTTCCGACCATAGTCTTAAAAATACAATAAAATTGACTTTTCAAACAAATTTCGTTTTTCTGGGTGGTGTGATAAAAGGATCTGCACGAAAAAATGGAGCTAAGGAATAGCCGAGAGTTAGAGTTAAATAAGTAATTTGGACAAAAAATTTGTATAAAAATTACAAGAAAAACTGCAAAAAATCAAAAAAAGTTTTTAGCAGTTTTTTTTCAACTTTTGACTCCAAAAAGGCGTTAAAACAATCAAATAAAATAACTTTTCTCGAGTAAAATTTAATTTTTACGCTTAAAGTAGGCTCTTCTAAGCTTTAAAGCTTTTTAAAAAAAGTATTGTAAACATGCTCACTCGCGTTACTTGCTCGAAATTAGACGAAAAATCAGGCTTTAAAATGATATTACTTAACTCACTCCGATGAGTTTTTGATGTAGCTGATTTTGTGTGGACAATTAAAAAAAACTAAAACACAACGCAAACTCATAACGCAAATATCCACAGTGGCGAAGCCGCGCTTCGCGATTACTACCAAGAACTCGACAAAAAAGCAGCTTGATAAATCGAAATAAGTCACAAATGAAGCAGCTACATATGTTTATAAATTTGGAAGATAACAAACTTCAGCCATCCACACTTTGCATATAATGAGATGGAAAACAGAAAGCCACATTATGTACAAAGTATAAACGTCAAAAAATTGCGCGATCAATTGAGCTAGAAAATTTGTGACATCGAGTTTTTATTAATGTAATGTTGTTTAGAACAGCTTTTTTCGTTTCATTTGATGCTTTAAAAACGCATCAACTGTGTTAACTTATTACTTATCAAATGTCAAAGCACGTACTATCAAAAAGCAGTATCGGTGCCACGAAAAGTGGCACCAATATTTGCGAGTTAGGATGGAAAAAATGAATAGTCGCACAATTACACTATGCTCACTAAACTCGTAGTGTAATTAAATCATTTTGAGTGATTAAAACTTGCTGTCTTGAATAAATTTCGAAAAGCAATTGAGGTATGCATTTTTTAATACCTTAAGGTTGGCAGATGAATTTGAATTGGATTCAAAAAGTGCATATTTACTTACATCAATGATTTACATCATTGAATGCACATCTGTTGTTATTAGAGCATTTCAACACTTTTCCTGAAAAAATTAACCACCAAGACCTTTATAAAAAAGTCTTCTGTGCGTTCATACAAATCATCCAAGACAAAATCATCCAGAACTATTTATGTGAAGAATCACTTCGCGTTTTAACATTACAAAAGTATGAGCTTAACTTTTTTGAACTAAAGAGTTCTTTTTTGACTGCCACTTTTTTGATAAAACTCACCTAACTTTAAAAAACTAGATCAACACAAGATCTATAATTTCAAAAGGAATTTTTAAATTTTCAATTCAAATTCATTTGCAGAAGTCAAATAACGTTCTCCAATTGCAAAAATGCACGCGGCACTAAAAAGAATTTTTTTTTTTAGTTTCAAAATTTTAGAACCATTTTTCCAGTTCCCAATGAAAACAACTTTGGATGATACAGACAAGTGGCGTTAAAAAGTGATTGACTGGATCATCCAGTCAATAATTTCATAACGCCACTAGCATGTTTGCAATTGTAGAGCGTTATTTACACTGCATTTGGAAAATCGATTTGAAATGAGCTTCAAAAAAAACGGAAGTCACAAGACTTAATTAAAATTTTGAGCATGCGATTTTTCCTGCAAACTATTTAAGTAGAAACTGACTTCCTTGAATTTAACTTCAATATCATTACTCAAAGATTAAAGCACTTAATACACTTTCCTCTAATTAAGCGAAGATCAACTAGACGTAATACTATTGAAGCAAATGTCAACCTGGCTGGTATTAACTTCAAAATCTTTTATAGATTAGATGGGGTAAAAAATTGGGGTCATTCTTCAGGGAGCATGAAAACCTACTATTTGGCAGTTGCCTTGTTCATGCACTGCCATCGCAATATTTCAATTACCTGTCGCTTCGCACCGTTGCTGTAATTGGTGAAGCCTACTTTCAGACAGTCAGAAACTTCAGCCCGCTTGTTTGGTTTCTATTCAAATAACGATGACTTTTGCAGCTACGTAGAATTCAAAGAGATACCCAAAATAATCAAATAAGATAAATATCTTGAGCTGACGGCCCTGCTCATGAATAATCTTACGCAACCATTTGATCGAACCAATAGCCTTTGCCCTTTGACCTCGGTTGCTAATCCCACTTACAACTTTCGACGAAAAACCATCACGTTTATGCTCTTTGAATTTTAAGAATCTTTGATCAACACTCATTGCGCTCAAAAAGTGCAAATCGTAGTTCTGAACTTATAAAAAAAAGACGACTTTAATGGAACTTGTGTCTGCCTCAAACTGCAAATGCAGATGGGCTTCATTTATGGATTCTGCGTGATAGCTATGAGGGAACCCAATATTTCCTCTTAGCAAATTTATAGTTTAGACACGAGTTTCTTTTGCGTTCAGTTCGTATAGCTGATAGATTTGAGCCATTTTCAGCTGTTTGGGAACAATTCATCTTGTTAGGCAAAAGGATAACGAAAAGAAAGGCAGAACATGTTTGACTTTTTGCAGTATATGTTTGACTTTTCACGAAAAAATTCAACTTTCGGGAAAAAATACATCACGTTAAAGCTCAGATATCAAGCTATTACATCATTTTCATTAAAATTTTACAACAAACGAGCAAAAACATTTTATTGCTGATTTGAGGATGCTTCAGAAGGAAAGATTCCAAATGACACACAACAATCACTTTTACCTTAATATGTAGTTAATTGCATTGAATTGCAAAAAAACAGACTGAACGAAAGGTTTTCAGATCAGCCGCTATGGCCTACGCTGTACGAAACAACATTTAACTTGCCTGCAACTATCATAGAAGCTTCACGTTTGCAAACAAATTAAACACTTTTTTCAGAGCTTTCATCTTTATTTTTGATAAAAAATATTGACAATTTTTTCTCCTTTTAAATTTCATTTATGGGACAAAAAACTGAAAGTGTGAAAAAGCGCTCAAGTTGACAAAATCCCAAAAATAGTTTGACGAAAAAACGATCGTTTTGAATCTGTAATTTGCGAAAAGTGTGACCATCTCATCACCACAATGAGTCTTGCCTGAGCAGATTGACATTAATTTTCGAAATTTTTGACTGGCGATACACAATAAGTCATTTAACGAAATAAAAAGAAATGTAACTTTGAAAAGTCATTTAAGACATTAGTTCAATCATGAGTCTCTCTCCAAGTTTAATAAGTATCTCACAAAATGCGGAACTTTCTTCGCTCCTTGCACATCATCCGTCTATTTTTGTAGATTGTTAACCAAGAAACTTGTTTTTTTTGCACTTTTTACGGAAAACTTGAAAACATAAATAAATCTCAGATAGCGTCGAAATAAAAGTGAAATGAATCATTTTTAGTACTGATTCAATTGATAATTAAAGTTTTCCGATTGGTTTAAGCATTCTTTAAAAAAACTGTCTTCGTATTTTTTCTCAGTAATCTTTTAGTCCAACCTACCACCACATTCTGTTCCTTCACCCAAAATGACAAGTTGGAAAACAAAGCGAGACGACCTTTCAAAACATCAAAATAAACCAAAAAAGGATCGAGCTTTGCGGCTTCAAAGAAAAATTATATCGCCTAAAACTTTCAATTTAAAAACTCTTTTCTGGTCGACTTTTTTGATAAAGTAATTCAATTTGAAGAAATGGGTAATTGAGTAAATTTAAGAAGCAGAATCGCTTTTTGAAAAAAAAACAGTCGCCCTATTTAGAGATGTGTTACCAAAGAGCGTTATTTTTAATGAAGCAAATGAAATTGAAGTGAACTTCGAAATTCGAAATTAACACCAGGGAGAAAAAGGCAAAGGTAGCTCTAAGGGTCAAAAAGGTAAAACTAATAAAAATTCTGTTGTGCCGGAATCGAACCTCTGACCTGGAGATTAAAATAGCATCTGCGCCATGGCTGCTTAACACTATTTAAATACTAGGAGCCCAGCTTAAGCTGGAGATATGTTTGAAAACACTTTTCCTTGAGCACGTTGTCAATTGAATCCTTAATTTTAAAAGTCAGAAAAATAAAACTTCGAAAAACGGTTACCAATTCAAAACATGGACTTTTCCTAGGGTCAGAAATCATACGACCCTAATTCGTGTCATCATTTGGTTCATTGCCAATCGAAAAACGAAGTTTTTTTTTAGAAAATGGATAATGGTCGGAACTTTCAATGCTAGTTGCCGAGCGAGCAACGAGCAATCATTGTTCATTTGGCTGCCTCGGTTCGAAGTTCCGTTTCCACTAGAAATCCTTTTCATTCTTATTGTTCAATTAAGGGGTCATAATATGTGCATATTGCATGCAAACTGCGCAGTCTTCACGGAACTTTTTGTGTCTATTATCTTCTAAGAGTTTTAAGGCTGAGCTCACGACAGTCATCAGGTACACAACTATCATCGGATTGGGTCGGATGATATATCATAATAAAGCCCTTTCAGTCGTGATTCGAACGAAATTTAAAAATTTTTGTCGAGAAACAACTGTTTGAAACTTGATTTTTGGTCTAATTTCGAGCAAATAAAGTAAGCGAGAAGGCTTACAGCAGCTTAATTATGCTTAATTGAAGCCGCGAAAACTTAGTTTTACTCGTTAAAGTTAGTTTTTGGAGTTTTTCAGCGCAATTGGGAATCAATAACTTTTTCAGCAAAAAATTTGAAAATTAAAATTTTTATTTTTTTTATTTTTATGTTTTTCTAGTCATTTTTTTACAAAGACTGTTTTTCAATTTGCCTATTTTACCATGAATAACGAATATGCCTAAATTTTAGTTTTTGTGCAGATCCTATTATCACACCACAGAAAAAACAAGACTAATTTGAAAAAACGTTTTTTGGTGTTTTTTTAAGATTATGGTCGGAACATTCTTTGCACAGTAAACGGATATCCTTGTCTTCTAATTACATCTAGTATATACACACAAAGTTTGTTCGGAATGCGAAATTGAAAAAATGATGCCGTTTTTCAGAACGCAGGGAGTAAACTTCAGCTTGAAAAAAAAAGTTGTGACCTACATAAAATCGCAAATAAAGAAAAGATAGTGAGTGAAACTTAGACTATACATTTTTGTACAACATTGTATGTACATAACAACGGTGATTATCAAAATCAACATAAAATTTAGAATGTCATTAATATTAAAGCCTTTGAAGCAAAGTAAATATTACTCAAAAAAGTAAGTACAACTAAAATCTAAGTTCCTGACTAGCTGTAGATAGACTAAGTATGCAAAGCTGCGTGTTAGGGGGTTTACAAATCATCAATAATTAGTTTTCGAAAATTAATCTACTACAAAAAGTGTTTGGCAGTTTCTATCAAACTTAGATCAAATCAAGTCGTATTAAATCTAGCAGGTACAAACATTTCTCCATTTGTTAACTGATACTCAAACAGACCATCACCATATCCATAATCATCAGTCCACGTGTACTCCTTATCAGTTGCTGGCACGGAAACTAAAAGTTCGCGCTTGGTCGAATTTCTCGATCCAGAATTTCTATTTTTTCTCGAATTTTTCCTGTCAACGTTTGATACCAAATGAGGTCTATCCGTGATCAAACTCCCCAGTGTGCTATTAGGCCCGTGAACAGATCTCGCATTGCTTTGTGAGATGTCAAACTTTCCTGGAATTTCACATGTAGATCGGTGTCTTCGCATGTATAGTTCCGAGAACGGCTGTTGTGACCTGGACCTATTGTTCGATTTTGGGGTGTTCGGAGCTGTCGGTGAACGCTGTTCTATATCTGGCAGATCTCGGCAGAAAGAATTTATGCCTCTTTCAGTTTCCGATGGCGCACTGGTTTTACGATCTAAGTTATCCCGCTCTTTCTTGATCATATTCCTCGCCGATTTTCTCTAAAAATAAAATTGATTGGAGCAATTTTTTATCGGAAATTAGTCATGTCAAATACAAACAATGGCGTCTTTTCAGATTTACCATTGATTTGCCGGACAGTTTTAATTCTATATGAAACCTACTCCCAGAACATTCCCTGCCAGAATGCGCAATACATTAACACGAAATCTATTTTACCACCCTCGAAACACTAGCATTTGAAAGGTACGTGTTCGTGTTGTGTTGCCTTCGTGAAAAATCATCAATAAATTCGTTGCCTTCTTAAAAACTGTTAAATAAAGAATATAGCTAACTGACAGTCGGAAAAGAGTAATGAAAGCAATGAATCTGAAACAACAACTGTCTTGTTCTTTTTTTCAAAAATCTTCAACTTTTGAATTTGAAAAAAAAAAAATAGATGGCCTTAAAGCTCTTTGAATTTGTAGAACAATTTATGATGGACACTTTTTTGCCAAAAAAGACCCAATTTGAGAAAACTGGATCAATAGGTAAAACTTTTATTACGGTGGGAAATCTGATAATTAATTTTCATTCTTCGAAATTAGAAGTCGATCACGCTTTTCGTGCCTTTTACACTTTTGCTGTTCTATAGTGAACTTTGCCCTCTTTTTAACATGCAATTTGGAAATGCACTCAACTTGAAAAGTAATCACAAGTCAAACTGCGAAAAATCAAAATTGAGCGTGAACAAAAATTAAGACTTTTTTCTGAAAAAAAAACAAAAAAAATCAGCAAAACCTATTTTCATCACTACGTTCATTACTTTTAATTAACACGGCAAATAAATTACTTTTCTCTGCTGCAGAAACATGAGATCCCTGTCGTTCCATGAAAGTGCACTTGCTGGCCTGAGTTTAACATTCGCCCCTCCACCAACACCACCCACCCTACTAGTAAGTGGCTGTTTCTTAGAGCCACTGAGGGGAGTGGCAACAGGGGGAATTGTGACGTCTTCGTCTAGGAAGTTGTCCGGCTGCTGGGATCCAGAGCGACTCTTCAGTGCCTGGCGACGGATTTCTTTGCAGTTCTCATTGATGTACGTCTGGAGTTCCGCTAAAAACATCTCATATTTGAGAATTGGAGCAAAAATGAGAAAAAATGGCAATATCTAATGACCATTTCGAAAATACTGCCCAAATCAGGCCATTATAGGGTGTCAATAAATCTTGCCAAAAACACTTAAGACCTCTTTCGCAGCAAATTCTAACCTCTGCATTTTGACTTAGCTTAAGCCGCTGATTAATAAATAAACAAATAAATACTAAACAAGGTCGGTATCAACTAGATTTTCAGAATTTATGTCTCAAGATTGCTAGAAAATTTTAATTTGCTTGCAAACTTTGTTCCAAAAATAGACAAATTATTCTTTTCCATTATTTCTATCGCTTCAAACTTTTCGCTGCTTCTTATACTACGCAAGTTTGCTTAAAAATTAAAACACGTACCTGTGTGATACTGCTGTGGACCAAGCACTAGTTTACGGATGTCGATGGCGTCCAGCAAGTGCTGGTAGGCATCCAACTGGGATGAGTTCAACTTCTGGTTTGTCAACTGGTGACGAGCTGAACACAAAATATTTGCAAAGCGACAGAGAACATAATAAAGTCAATAAGACGAATGCATTAATTGAATAAAAAAATATCAACAAAACCAAATGAAGAACTTTAACAGAACCAAATTCTCATGTCTGAAAACTCGATCTAACTCAAGTTTTCGAGCAATAAATCAATTATCCTTTCCCTCACACCAATAATAACTTAACACATTACACTAGGCGATTGCTATTAAACGATTAACCAAGACATGCCAGCCGGTGATAATTTACAAATGAAATATTTTACTCCATTAACTAGTTCAGTGAAAGACAAAAAAGAGAGTCCAACCTACCCAGAAGTTCCTTCACCTCTGCGACTTCCAAGTGATTATCTCCCTGGTGTTTTTGTTTCAGTTTGAGCGCCCGGGTGAAATAATCTTCAGCTGCAAAGTAGTTGAACCCATCGAAATTGTTTTTGTCGGCCAGTAAGTTGGCGAATGCTATCAAGACGTCGGCGAGGTTCTCGTGGTTTGGTCCATATCTGTCCGTGTACATTCGTAACACTTTCTCAAACTCAGCCCCACTTTCTTCGAACATGAACCGCTTGTGGCTTGAACAAGTTCAAAATTATAGAACATAGCCATCAGACAGTTGGAAAACAGTCAAAGCACGCAAGTAAACAGAAAAAATAAATGCTTGTTTCTTGAAAAATCTCAACTTCCGAATTTCGAAGAAAAAATGGATGGCCATAAAGCTCTTTGATATTCTTGAACCATTCATGATTAAAGCTTTTTTGAACATAGCCAACTGACAGTCGGAAACGAGTACTGAACGCAAGGTAACAGAAAGAAAACTGACTTGTTTTTGAAAAAATCTCAACTTTTGAATTTCAAAAAAAAATTGATGGACTTAGAGCTCTTTGAAATTGTAGAACAATTTATGATTGACATTTTTTAATGAAATTAAAACCATTTGAGAAAACTAAGTAAGTAAAACATCAATAAGTAAAACATATATTTGGCTGGGAAATTCGATAATTAAACAAGAAGTCAATCACGTTTTTCGTGACCTTTACACTTTTGCTGTTCAATAGTGGAGTTTGCCTTCCTTTTAACAATGGATATGAAATGAGCTTGAAAAACCGCGAAAAACCAAAATTTCAAGACTATTTCCTGAAAAAAAAAATCAGCGAGACCTATACAAGAATACTCACTACGTTCAATACTCTTAAAAAATTAATGGCCTTGAAGCATTCTGAATTTCAAAAACAATGAACGATTGACACATTTTTGATAAAATTAACCCAATTCGAGGAAACTGGATCAATGGAAAATTGAAATCCCGTTGGGAATTCTTTATATTAAAATCCACTTTCCAAACTCGAGGTTGTGCACGTTTCTTTGCACTTTTTTAAATGAAGGGCGTAAATTGCCTTCCTTTAGCAAATGAAATTGGATTGAATTCGAAGAAAAAATAGCCAACTGACAGTTGGAAAAGAGTAAGGATCGCAAGGACGCAGAAAAAACACTGACTTTTTCGTTTAAAAAAAAGTAGTAAAAATTCGACTACGTCTCGGATTCGAACCTACACTAGTCAACAATAAAGCAGCTACAAATTCCCAATGCGATGCAGCAAAAGGTGCACCAAATACAAATATATTCAATTTTGCAAGTAATAGTTTGGAATATAACAAACTGAAGGCATGCACACTAATTTTGCATGTAATAATTGGAAAGCATAAAACCACATTAAGTATAAACTCTGCATTTCAAACAATTGAGATATATTGGCTCAGAAAATTTCTGAAATAGAGTTTTTATTATTGTTATGTTGTTTGAAACAATAGGCTTTTTCAGTTCATTTCACAAACACAACAATAAATCACAAACACTAGCTACAAATAACGCAGACGAGAACATTTACTAAGTTATTTCCAATGCTGCAGTGAGATTTCCATAAAAGTGAACACTTGTAATGAACACTTAATTGCTTGTTAGGTTAGAAAAAAAGAAGGTTCGTACTAATACACTAACTCTATAAGCTCAGAAGTGTAAAGAGTTACTGAGACCTATATGAAGTCACTACGGCCTATAGAAATGTCTTCACTAAGTTAACTGACACCAAAATATGTTTTAAAAAGAAAAAAACAACAAAAGAAAAAGTAAGACGAATCAAACCACAAGCAACGAGCATTAAAGTCGATAATCCTTCAGAACTGTGCTACTAATTTTTTCAGAAGCACAACACCATCCACTGACAAAGCGTAAAACATGCTTTTAAACTGCAAATTTTAAGCAGCAAAAATGCCACAAAAATTAGCAATATTTCATGAGAGTTGGACAGAAAAATTAGCTCGTAAAATAAAACAATGCTTGCAAAGCTCGCTGGTAAAAAAAACCCATTTATTTAACTTAACTAAAAACTTTTAAGTTGAAAAATTTGCGTGAAGAGCGAGTGTAATTTTGCTTCCATTTTTTGCAATGGAATTGAATTTAAGGAAAATCAAAAGCCAAACCGCAAACATAAATTTGAGCATGAACAACTTTTAAGAATTTCTCCAGAAAAGAAACTACCTAATTGAGTGCTTTCACTTCGTTCATTGACAATTAACGCTTGCGTAATTCACACCTGCATTGGATAATAATCATATTTAAATAAACTAATAATAAGTTTAATCAGTGAACAAAAAACGTTCACTCAAACTCACAAAATGACGGCCTTGTAGAAACACTTCTTGAGAAAGGTGCTCTCTGTCTCCTTTACAACCACCTCACCACCCCCTTCCCCCTCTAGACTGTCGAGGAGTGTCTTGGCAGTGTCTATGTCTCCCTGTTTGACGCAGATGCCAATCAGCTCCACTGTTATCGTACCTGATCCGAAAATATACAAAAAGCAAAATATTTATCGGCACTTAGCGTAGGGGTAAGACGTTCGTTTTGAGTACACGGTTGTCTGCGTGGTGCGATAAAAAGATCTAAGCGAAAAACTAGACCTTAGGCAATTCGACAGTTAAAGTAAAATAAGCAAAATGGAAAACAGTTTTTGTAGAAAAATGACCAGGAAAACGAAAAAAAATCGTTAAGAAATTTATTTAGTAAAAATTTTTTTATTTTTGAAGTGTCCGATTCCCAAATTGGAACTAAAAACACCAGAAACTATTTTTACTAAAAAAACTAAGTTTTCAGGGCTCAAATAAAGCAGGAATGAGCTATTGTAGGCCTGCACCTTGACCTTATTAGCTCGAAATTAAACTAAAAATCAAAAATTTCAAATCGCCTTTTCTTGACACCGAGAGAATTTTTCAAGATTTTTTTTCGTTCGAATCATTTTAATGTCGTTCGAATCATGACTGAAAGGACTTTAATATGATGTTTCGATGATTATTTGGGGTACCTGGTTTTGCGTGGAAACAAAAAAAACTAAAACACACTCGAATACTAAGTTCGTCCACGGTTGGTCGACTAAAATCAACTGACGGATGGTCGACCAAAATCAACTGATTTTTCAGATGGTCGACCAAAATCAACTGACCTTGATAATATTGCAATGTTGATGCCATAGCTTCTCCAATACACACCATCAACAACAGTTGCACCGTCTCCAGTGCCTGTTTTAACCAATCACAGGCTTCCTTCAATTTGATTGGCTCATTCTGTCTCGCACATGCAACCCCAATAGCTAACACACATTCAATATATTTCAGTTGACTGTGTTCTTCGGCGCTATATTCCGTGGACGAGCTTTGATGTTTTAATGCCATTTTGTAAACTGTTTCCGCTTCTGCGTTTCTTTGCAGTTCTTGCAAGAACCTTCCGATGTAAGATAGAATAGATGACAATTTCTCGTAACTCGAAGGATGGCACTTATCTATGGTAGTCATGGTTTTGTCCATGTCGCTGGTGTCCAATGGCTCTGATTCGACAGTTATCTGGACGCTGGGTTCCGCGATGCCACTTCCAACATCCAGAGTTCCTAGGATTAGAAGACGTTGTTATTAAAGAACTATTTTTGGTCGGTCAATAAAAAAATCCTTCCTAGGACATCAGCATACCGAAAAGCGAAGGAACTGAGATGTGAAAACCCTCGTTAAAAACGAGAATCATGCAAAAGAAAACGCAACACGCTCTGCAGCTTGACAGATCATTTTATGAACTGTTATCTTACGATACTAATTTATTTGTTAAGTTAAATGGTTGATACAAGTATGATAGTTGGGTCCCAGGAAAAAGCAAGTATGAAAGATGGGTCTCGAAATTTTTGTGAAAACTTCAAAAACAAGACAACAAAAGCGAACCATGTTTTCGAAGACTTTGTTCCAGAAGTTTTTTTCTTCAGGGACCCTTCTAAAATTTAAGGGACCCAACTATCATACTTGTATCAAGTTGATCAACTTACTGGGTTTCTCCGGTCTTCCAGATTCTTGTATAGAGGGGGTTCTAGCACTGTCTAAACAAAGACAAAACCAACTTTGCCAGCAGAACCCCAAATATAGGACACAGAAGCCAAGCAGCACTTCGCAAACAAGCAAAAATGGCAAATGGAGTCATTAAAACAGAGGCGAAGCTGCGCTTCGCAATAACTAGGGAGACCATCGGCTAGGTCTCGGATTCGATCTGCGACCTAAAGAATATGAGTCTCACACACTAACCACTCAGCCACGGACGCTTAATTAATCACAAACACTAGCCTAAAATAAAGCTGAGAACAGAGGCTATGAAATTTCCAATGCTACAGATCGTGATTACAGCAAAAAAGCCACCAAATAATGAAGTTTTATTTGCGAGTTGGATTAGAAAAAAAAACAATGTTCGTACTAATACATTAACGCTCGCTAGTGTAATAAGTAAACTGACATATGGAAAAACAAATAATTGCCCTCTCCGAGAATCCAACCTACGCCGATGACCACCTACAAAGCGCTAGTGAAATAAGTAAACTGACATATGGAAAAACAAAAAATTGCCCTCTCCGAGAATCCAACCTACGCCGATGACCAACTACAAATTTGGAGTTCACTGCAATAGCAGTTACGCTGTGTGCGCATGCTGTCATATAAATACCATCCAGTAAAATATTGGCAAGTAGTTACCAAATACCAGCTACACAGACGCTAAACTTGGCACTTTCTGTAAGTGGCAATAATTTACGCGACTTGGGTTAGTAAAAAAAGATAAATAGCAGTATAACCTTTGCTCGTGCAATAACCAAAACAGCAAACTAACTGTTTTTTTTGTTTGATAATTTTTCAGTTTTTAAGCTTCGATGAACTAATATACTGTCCTCCAGCCAGTACTATAAATTTACACATACTTTGTGATCGAAACTCTTTAGATAAAAGTAACACACTTAGAGTAAGCTGAATAAATAAGTCTTTTCATTCCACGTGGAGTTAAAAAAAAACATGAACTAATATACTGTCCTCCACTAATACACTGTCCTCCAATACTATAAATTTACACATATTTTGTAATAAAAGTAACCAACTTTGAGAAAACTGAATAATTAAGTTTTTTTTTATTCCACGTTGAGTTAAAAAACAAAATTCACATTTGAAACCTAATTTAATCACGTTTAATTTGGGCTATTCGCACATTTTTTATTCAAGAGCGTAGCGCTTTATCCAATGAATTTACAGTGAAATTAAGAAAACTCAACTTCAACCAGCCAAACTATAAATCTGAGCTTGACAACTCTTGGAACTGCTTTCTTAAAAAAAGCGGAACGCACACGATCGAAAAAAGTTTTCTCATTAACACATGCACATTTCATTTGATATTTTCAGACGTTTCGCATTGTCGCTTTCCTGAAATTGTGGTAGTTGTCTTTTGTTGCGAGTTTCCACGGTACCCTTCTTAACATTCGAAACAAATGTTAGATAAAATTGAAGCTGCACTTTGCAAAAATAGACAGCAAGCGGCAATAAAACAGCTCTAAAACCCAAGTAAACGTAATTCTTAAAAGAAAGATTTTGAAACAGAAAAATTCGCTGACTGGTGAACTGAACAAAAATTCTGCCTCTTTAAGATCAAAAGCATTACCACAAACTGAATACTTTCACACATATTTATACAAGCCGACATGCTTGACTACGTAAACACCAGTCAGCGATAAATATATCACTCAACACTAGCAGGGAGCAATAAATGCTCTTTAAACAACACAAGACCTAAACAAGTGATGAATCACTTCGTTAATTAACACTTAAGAAATTTCACTTCATATGTGACAACGCCTGTTCTGTAGGCAACATCAATGAAAATTTTAAGGCAAAAATCATAACAATTGCTCAACTGGAATCTACTTAACAATCAACTCCCACCACGGTACCCACTACATAATTTCCACCCCTATAAATAAATTCAGTAAATTAGCACTATAGCGTTCTATATATAATTCGATGTTTGCTGAATTCTGATTGCTCGAAGAGTTTTAAGTAGATCCCTCATCTGACGCAAACCAATGAGCTTCAAATAAACTTAAAAAGCTACCCAATTGATTCAAGGATTTTGGCGCGATTGCTAGACATTGTGTCGATATTTTTTTTTGAAATTTTTAGGCCATTTCAAAACGCCACTAAATCTAGAACGAATAGGCAAAGCAACAGCTCGTGTTCGTCTCATCAAAGTATTTTTGAAACTTTTAAAAAATTTCAGGCTTCTCGTTTTCCACCGATAAACAAAAACACTTTCAAAATAAAATAAAAAATAGTTTTCAGTGTACTCTTTATTTGTTTCAATTCTTTATAACTCCCGTAATCAGTTCTTTGTTCAATCCTTCCTTCCTTCCTTCTTTGTTCAATCCTATCTCAATCTGGAAAGTTGCAAATTTGATTCTATTGATAAAAAAGTGTTGTTTTCAAACCTATAGTCACAGTTCTATTATTATATTCTCAAGGTCAATTAAATGTTACCCAAAGCCAACTCAAATTTACAAAGCAGTCACGTTTAAAGCCAGAAAATAAACTATGACAAGACACTTGCTCTCGCAAGTGTAATTTGTCATAATCAGATGCTAACCCGGTTGCACTGAAGGCGTCTGTGACATTTCTCCAGTGCACGGCGTACTCCCATGCCTCACAGGCTGTTCATTCGACACCTTCACATTACCCCCCTCTAACTCCTGCGTACCAGCTGACCCCCCGAGGAACTTCAGTTCGAGATTGTGTACCATCTCCAAGAACACTCTCCCTGGGTCGTAGGTGGGACTCAGGGCGTGAGACCAGTAGTTGCGAACATCGGCCATCAAGTGAGCTCCCACTTTGTCAATGCTCGTCATTATTACAGTGAAGATGCTGCAAAAAGAATCTTATTTTTAATGGAAAAGAAAACAGACTGATATGAAATATATCAATGTATTCATATGAACTTTTAGATGAAAATAATAGTCTCTACTTCTAACTTTTTGTGCATAGAAATTTTAAGCAGTTTCTATTTGATTTTGACAGACCAATTTTAGTTGGATTATAAGCCTGTTAATCAATGTCGCAAATAAAATTAATCAGTTTCAAGTTTTTACTAATAAAAATAGCTTGAAAAAACACGCACTCTGGATTGGTCAGCACTGTGACTAATTTCGACAAGTTCCCTGTATTCCTCAATTGCCACAACAACTCCTCCAGCAGGTGTGGCTTCTGACTCCACAGGGACACTGGCTGGGCCAGGAGGTAGTCTGCGATCACATTCTGGAACTTGAGTCTGGAGCTGACCCATCTGGCCGCTGATCTCTGGGGAGTGGAAGAGAGGGAGTTCACAGCCACTGTTGTCATTTCAGGGCACACTCCGTCTGGAAACAAACAGAGAAGTCTGGAAACGGACCAGAAGGTCTCATGACTATCTTTCAGGCTACTGCTTCATGGTTGTAAATACGGTTTCATAACAATCATTACTGGTATACTAGCCTGAAAACAATTTATTATTTTAAAAAAGGTGGCGTATGTTTAGGCATGGATACCATTGTCAATACTTGGTTCAGTATGCCATTACGCACACTTAAGTTTTCGTTCCGGTAGAGGTTAACACTTTTCCTCGTTCCAGAATTTGTTTAATTCCATATAAATCCGACTACTCACTGAGGAAGAAATAGAAGACAGTCTCCTTGACTAATGTGTGCTTGATGTACAACAAGCCATTGCGTCTACACAGAACTGCCTGCTGACTACACGCTTTGAACTGCATGAAGTCGAATGTTCCGACCGAATGTGTATCTCCTCTGTATCCGAGAGCCTAAAACAGAAGTGATGTTGATACGAATGACCATTTGTTAACAAAATCTTCTTATGTCTTTTTAAAAAAGCTGATCTCTTCTGATTTCCTTTTCAATTTGTTTTTTTTATCATAGGACAACCTTTCAGACAAAATTAAGTCAATAGGTAATTTTTTATTCGGCTGAGAAGTCTAAAAAAACTTCCCGGACTGAAAACCATTCACGTTATTTCGCATTCTAATCATTGCATAGCCTAAATTACTTGCCTTCCTTTTAACAGAGGAATTTGAATTGAAATCAAAAACAATTCAAAAGTCACACAGGAAATCAAAATTGGCGTGCAGCAAAAACTTCAATAAGCAACTTTACTTCGTTAATTGACACTTAACTTCTTCAGTTTACTCGCAGGCGAAACAGCCTTTCATACAAAAATACATACGATGAGAAAAATCTTGAAAATCATCGGGCATTTGAAAAAAAAACATAGCCAACAGACAGTTAACACAAACGCAAAGCTACATTTAAAGTCAAAAGAAAAAAATGCAGAACGTAGTTCAAAAACAAGACACTTACTCTCGCAAGTGTAAACATCCAACAGGCGGTTGGAAAAGAGTCAAAGAACGCAGGGAACCAGAAAAATAACTTAATTTTGAAAAAAAAATCAAACTTCGAATTCTAAAAAAATATATAGATACCCTTAAGAGTCGATGAACGTAATTCAGACTCTTATATAGGTCGTAACGATTTGTTGTTTTCTTTTTTTTTCAAAGGAAAAGTCTAAAAATTTATTCAGACTCAAATGTATTTTTTCGCGTCTTGGCTTCAGTTTTTTTTAAGGTTCTGTTCGAACAGCGAAAGTGTAAAGGTCACAAAAAACGTGATCGACTTCTTGTTTCGAAAGTAAAATTTAATTTTCAGGTTAACCAGCGAATTTAAAGTTTACTCATTGTTCCAGTTTTCATTCCAATCATAAAGAGTTTCAGAATCTGAAAATAAAATTCCACTTTCGAAACTAGAATTTGATCACGTTTTTCGTGACCTTTAAACTTTTGCTGTTCGATAGTGAACTTCGCCTTCCTTTTAACAAACGAAATGTGTCTTCTTTTTAGCACAGGAAATGCACTGAACATAAAAAGAAAACAAAAATCGATCCGTGAAAAAAAAAATTGAGCCTGAACAAATTTTTAGAATTTAATCGAAAAATAAACTTAAAAAACCATCGCGACCTATAAAAGTGTCTGAACTTTCATCGACTCTTAACTGAGAAAATTAAAAAAAAAATAGCAAATAAGCCGGTAAATTGTCAGAATTCGAACCACCGCCCTACTGACTATGAAGCGTACTTCTTCCTGGCTGAGCCAATTGTTCTAGCTGCTTTCAAAACTTGACACAACTAATACTAAACCAGGCGGTCTAATAAAGGCGGATCAAACTCATGATAAAGCTGCGGATAAAACACATGCTAAAAATATCACTAGGTTGAGCACATATTTATGTGACTTGCTATGAAAATTAACACAAAGGAACGGAAAAACGGAAATTTTGACAGTAAAATTCATCACCTTGAAGCTCTTGAGCCTCAAGACTCTTGAGCTCCATGAGTGACAGTTGTTTGATTAGACTGACGCAATTTTAGAAAAAAAAAATAGAGAATTTTAATTCCGCTGGGAAACTCACTCAAGAAACTAAACGTCAATCACGTTTTTTTTCGAGTCACTAGACTTTTGTTCTGTGAGAGCGAAATTTGTTTTCCTAGAAAACGAAATGTTAATGAATTTGAATCTAATCTGAATGGAAACGCGAAAAATCATATTTCAGCTTGAGCAAACAAGGATTTATCCTAAAAAAAGAAAGTGTCATCCAGGCTTAATCAAATGTTATGGGCCTTTCGATTAAAAGCAATTTTTTACCTGAAAGTTTGCTGAAGCAATTGTGAACACAGAGGAAACCGCAAAAACAAGCGAAAAACGCCAATAGGTAGCTTTACAAAAGGTTAAAGAAGAAGAAAACACCACAAAATCGAATATCGAGGAGTTTTGAAAAATAAATGCCCTTCTATAGGAAACAAACTTTAGAACTCGAGCAATCAATACCACTGTCTTACATACGTGAGACAACGACGCTTAGAGAACCAAAAAAATGGCGGAAAACAATGGCTATTAAACTGCCAATACAATGCAGCGACTATGTTATGCGACTTGAATTGGAAAAGTGAACTTCGAAATATAACGCAAAGCTCATTTGTAAAAAAACAAATTGAAGGAAAAAAATTAGCAGACCCTAAACCTTTGCTTTCGCAAAAAAATTTGCAATACCATTATAATTAAACCTTTTGTAGGTATTAACCTTAAAAATCAATTTATAAATGCTTCTTTAACCGACCTGTAAACATTGGATGAGGTCTTCCTGAGAGAGTCCGTTGCGTGACACACACAGCAGTCGGAGAGTGTCGATCACCCAGTTGTTCTTGTTGGCCCACTTCTCTGGAAATGACACAAAATAGTTATTGCCATGCTACTCATCGCTTTCAAATAAAGTTATAAAAATCTTCTATTTCCGTAAGCTCATCACATTTTTCTGATAATGAATTTTAAAATTGACGAATAAAATTAACGTATATATTTCAATAAAAACTTCAAAAATATATAATTTAGTAATTTGTCATCTATTTCTGTTGAAATCATTAATTGTTGTTCTATTATGTAAGCTTTAATTCGCACATAAATAGCCAAACGAACATTGGTTTTACAACACATCCGAGAAACGTTACGATAGTGATTCATGGTAAGGAAACTATAAACATAGCCAACATTAAGTTGAAAATAGTCAATGCACGCAAGTAAAAAATACCGCCTTGCTTTTTGAAAAATCTCAACTTTCGAAATTAAAAGAAAAAAATAGACGCCCTTAAAGCTCTTTGAATATTTAGGACAATTTATAATTGGCACTTTTTGATAAAATTAACCCACTTTCAAAAACTGGATCAATAAGTACAATTTTATTTCGCTGGGAAATCTGAAAGTTTCGAAACTAGAAGTCGATCACGTTTTTCGTGACATGAAAATTTTGCTTTTGGACAGCGGAGTTTGCCTTCCTTCTGACAAAGAAAACGAACCGAGCCTAAAAAGAAATCTGAAGGCGAGCCGCGAAAAAATACATTTGAGTCTGAAATTTTCAGATTTTTCCTTCAAAAAAAATTTTATAAAAAACATCATCACGACCTATATAAGAGTCTGAACTACGTTCATCGACTCTTATAAAACAGGCGAAGCAGAGCTTCTTAATACTTACGGTACAACACACATATACAATCACAGCTAGTCGAAGGCTATCAGTCGAAAAAAAATGGAAATGCAGAAAAACATCGCCGAAAATATTCATATGTTTGTCTCAAATACAACACAATCCAAGAAAAAGCTGACGCGAAACGCAATTGCCAGCATTGAAAAGAGCATCAAAACTACTTATCGAACGACAAGTATGAAGGAAAACTTTGGGTCAGAGCCCGGAACAGTAGTCATAAAGAGCCGGGAACAATGGTCATTATTTTTGAAATTCCAAGTTTTATATCCTCCCCAAAGCATACAAACGCATATTAACCTCACTTTGATCTTCAAACGAGTCAAAATGAAGTAACTAACTGGATAGAAGCCGACAGCATTTAAGCCAAAGAAACCTTTGACGCAAAACACTTCTCAGGCTGAACTAGAATAAGATGTTTTACTGCTACAAAATCAACCCAATTAAAATAAAATAAAAAAATAATCCCAAGCTGTGGAAAGAAAAAGTAGACACCTCGTTCAATTTTTTTATGGCTAATAGAAATGTTCGGTGCTTATTTAACCAAAAATGTAGAAAACCTGTAATTTGTACGTCTGTACTCTTATCTCGATTTCTGATTGATTAATATAGTATTCGTCTACTTTAAAACGTGACTACTTTATGACCTGCCTGATTTTTGGTATGTAACCCTACTATTCAAAGTACAACACAGTCAACTAACCCTCTTTGCCCTCGGGTGTCTTCTTGGAGCTAGATTGGGTGACAGGTGACCATCCATAGTCATTGGCCCATCTGAGGATCACCAGGTGCCACAGGGTACGCAGATTACTACAGTTCACATACTGTTCCACCTGCCGATCCACCGACATGTAGCCGCCTGCACAAGCAAAGGAGAAGAAAGTGAACATAAAAAGAAATCAAAACTGAAGCCACGAAAGACCAAATTTGAGCGTGAAATAGTTTTATAACTCCTTCATGAAAATTAACCATCCCGATCTATATAAGTCTTCACTACGTTCATCGAATCTTAAGCATCAACATCATCACAGTTTTTTGGTGCACCTTTCTTATTCACGAAACGCAGTCTTCATTACAACCGATTCTTCTAGAATCTTTACTCGTCGCCCCGTTATAATTCATCGTTAAGTCGCTAAAATATCTACTCAGAGAACCTGGCTTTTCAATTGAAAACATTACTCAGAAACATAACTTCTCGCAAGCTACTCAACATCTAAATCGATTGACCAATTGTAAAGCATAATGATCAAACAAGCGGAGCTTCTGTTTTCGCAGCACTTGCGATACAACGCAAGCGCACTATTGCAAGCTAGCGAATCGAAAATTAGACGGAAATAACAAAATCGAATCTTTTTAGGCAGCAAAAACAACTAACAGCATTAAATAAGCTTCAAGTTTTTACCCAGCAAACACTTAGCCGAAAAAAAACAATGGCCGGCGCCTATTGAACCGAAAGCAAAAAAAAACTGTTATCATAAAAAATGTAACAATACTATTGCCCTTCAAAAACAAAATACCTAAAAAACTTTTAAGATAAAATTCACCAATTTGCGAAAACTGGATCAATAGGTAAATTTCTTATTCGCTGGGAAATCTGAAAATAAAATTCCTTTATCGAAAGAAGAAGTCGATCACGTTTTTCGTGACCTTTACACTTTCGCTGTTCAGGGTAGTTACACTTTGGATGGGAATTGCTTAAACCACAAGCAAAATCCGTGATGCAGCAGTTAAGCCGGAAAAAAACATATTGGACAAGAAAATCCGATGAGTTGACTTTTCCCGAAAAAAAAATCAATTTCATACATTCTGAAAAAAAATCGGGCCGTGAGTCAAACAACAGACCTTAGAGCGCAAAGACAAAAGCATTACCCCTAGACAAGTGGGAAGGAGCTTCGAAGTTGTTAAGGTTCAATAATTAAGCAAGTTCAATATCATACATATGTATTTACCGGAAAAAAAAGTCTAATACCTGATTGCAATAGACTTGCTCTCGCAAGTATAAATAAGAACCGTGGTTTCGGCGATTCACTGAGGATCTATCAAAGGCTGTCCCGCCGGTCTTAAGATAGTCCTTTTCTATTAGTTACCTCATTCCATTCAGCTTATTTGTATGGCGATCATCTTTATGAGGTGAAACATATCAAACACAGGCTTAACTGCAGAAGGTTAACATTTTTAATGAACACTTTTTAAAGTGAATCGGGTTAGAAAAAAGTGGATTCGAAGCTTAACACCAAGCCAGCTAGCTCGCCTGTTTTAAGATCGAAATGGAAGTTATAATATCTCACCACACAGCTGTAATTCTCTGGCGAGTGCTGCGAGGAAGACTGGACTGGAGCTGAGTTCACACTTGATGATCTGCTTCTTCTGTCGATCCTCCAGCTTCTTACGGGGTCCAAAATGACACGACAGAATCTGAAGAGGCGTCAAAATTAAAATATAGCCAATTAAAATATAAAGTCAATGCAGGGAACAGAAAAAAAACTGACAGAAAAAATATATGGTTTTAAAGCTCTTCGAAATTCTATAAAAATTAATGCTTTGTATCAAATTACCTCACCTTGAGAACACTGGATAAATAGATAAAGTTTTGTTCCACTGAGAAGTCTAAAAATTAAATTCGATTGTTAACTGCAACCGCTTTCACTCGCTAGATCAGTTTTTACACAGAGAGCAAACACTTTCTTTTTACTTTCTGGCAAACACACCTCGAGAACACGACAAAAAGCAGCTATATAAAGTACAATAAAAAGTAGAGCTAAGCCTCGGATTAGTAAAAAAAACCTTCGGCTATGTCTGGGATTCATTCTGCGACCTAAAGAATATGAGTCTCACGCACCAAACACTCAGCCACGGACGCTTAATAAATCACGAACATTAGCCACAAATGAATCAGAGGACAGATGCTATGAAATTTTCAATGCTACAGTTCGGGATTATAGCAGAAGTGCCATCAAATAAGTGAACACTTTTAATGAACACTTTTATTTGCGAGTTAGCTTAGGAAAAAAAAAGCTAATACACTACGCTCCTCACTAGTTCAAAAACAATTGTTATGAAATTTCGCATGGTGCAAAATACGTCATTCTGAACACAACAATTCATATACGCTTTAAACTGTAAGATCAGTTTAAACAATTATGAAACCGAAAAACACGTAATTTGGAAAAAACACGGAGTCAAAATATTGAATAACTCACCTGGTTTTTCTGATCCAGAGTTTCTGGGGTGACTAAGTCGAAGAATGTGACGTCATTTGGCCTTGAGGCGGACAGCGCCCTGTGGGAGTGGTCGTGAGGGGTGGTTGAGAGAATCAGAAGACACCCTGGGGGAAGCAACTCGGGCAGCCACTCACAGTCTTTCACCTGATAAATGAACAAAACCATAAGTTGACAAAGTAGCCTACTGACAAATACCCAAATGATTACACAAAGTTGAAAAAGCTGAGTAAATATGTACTTTTTCCTTCCACGGAAACCAGAACATTTTTTTATTCAACTGAGAAATCTGAAATCCTGCTCTGAACCTTCTGAAACTAGAACCACTCGCCGCCATTTTCACTTTGCTAATGAGCTAAGAAACATGTAAATTTCAATTATTTACCTCGTGTGTTTGATTCAGGAAAAAGTATTCATTAACTTTTTTCAACCTTATGATGTCTATTTTGACGTCACGCACTTAGTTCATGTGACTTGCAAGTAAAAACACACTCGTGAGCTGAATTGAAATGGGTCAATTGTATTTTACCTCTTTGATGGAGAACAACGGTGAGGATGCAAACTGGTCCATGCCGTCTAAGAAGATGACAGATGGGCCGAAACACATGGATGCATGGAAAGAGTCCACCAGACACCTGTTGTCATCCCGCCCAGGCAGAGTTTCTACATTACAAAAATAAACCAATAACTTCCTAAATATCAAAAAGGACAGCCGGTTGCTGTACAAGTATCACAAGATATTCCGACCAAATTGATTTAAGACCTGAAATTCAGCAATAATAATTTTTTTTTGTCAAATCGAATAATTTGTTTTGTCTAAATTTCACGTTGTTTTTTTTTCCTTGCAAATGTGATTAAATTAAGCAAAAAGCAAGAAAGAGCAGTAAATATAGTTGCAAAGCGTTAACTTACAGCTTTATAATTCTAGTAGCTTTAAAGTTGGGACGTCTGCCTCTAAGCAAACTTCGTTTAAATTCAGACCAGTTTTTCTCAAAACTAAGGGAACTTTCTCACATTTTCTTTTTAGAATCCAAATTCTAACCAAAATGGCTTTATTATGATGGCTCTAACACTTGACACCATACGAGCTTCCTTGAAGTAGCCAAAAGTAGCTGGAAAAAAACGACAAGAATCCGAAGTAACTTTCCACTATTCGAGTGGTCGGAACAATAAGCGCGAAACTCTAGCATCAAGTAGTACGTATAAAACTACTAAACTCTAAAACTAAATCAATAATTGTGCCAAGCTTAGTACAAAAAAACTTACCTCTCTATTTAAACATGTTAAGTAAAAAGAGTCAACGTCAATCTAAAAAAACGGATGAACTAAATTTCGTTTATTTCTCATTTCAGCCCCCCTAATACAAAACCCTATTCTTGTGGTTCTGTAATTTCTTAGTAGTAAGTGTGGGGAGGAGTGCTATGATGAGAAAAAACCATTAGTTTCACAACAATGTAAAGAAAGATACTATTTCATACCTAGGAAGTATTCAGTCATTTCGTCGATATATCTGGTCATGAAGTTTGCCAGGTCTTCACTCTGACTGTTGCAGCCCACAAAGTGAACAAATACCTGAATCAAACAAGGAGGGATGGTTACTGTGCAATTAGTACAGAATGTTCCGACCACAGTGATGGAAGTTTAACCACAGAGGCGAAGCGGAGCTTCGCACCACTAGCAATACAACAAAAAAACAATAGACGTGAAAAAAGTATAAAAAGTTTTTAAAAACTAGATCTACCAAAATTTATATTTTTGATGTCTCGATAGAAATTCATTCCAAGCAAACACGCCAAAAATTTGATAATACAACACACGGACGAGGCTGCGCTTCGCAAATACTAGCGAGAAAACGACAAAAAGCAGCTCTAGAGTTCTAAAAAGAGCAATAAGAAAAAGTAAAAATAAGCCTTGTATTAGTAAAATTCGGCTAAGTCTCAGACTCGAAGCAACAACCTAGCAATTATGAGTCTCACGCACTGTCTACTTAACCACACGCTCAGTCCATCACAAACACTAGCCACAAAAAAAGCTGAGAAGAGATTCTATGACATTTTCGTGCTACAGATCGTGATTACAGCAAAAAAGCCACCAAATAATGAACAGTTTTATTTGCGAGTTAGATTAGAAAAAAAAACAATGTTCGTGCTAATACACTAACGCTCACTAGTGTAATAAGTAAATTGACATATGGAAAAACAAAAAATTGCGCCCTCTTCGAGAATCCAACCTACGCCGATGACCACCTACAAATTTGGAGTTCACTGCAATAGCAGTTACGCTGTGTGCGCATGCTGTCATATAAATACCATCCAGTAAAATATTGGAAAGTAGTTACCAAATACCAGCTACACAGACGCTAAACTCAGCACTTTCTGTAAGTGGCAATAATTTACGCGACTTGGGTTAGTAAAAGAAGATAAATAGTAGTATAACGTTTGCTCGTTCAATAACCAAAACAGCAAACTAACTGTTTTTTTAGTTTGATAATTTTTCAGTTTTTAAGCTTCGATGAACTAATATACTGTCCTCCAGCGAGTACTATAAATTTACACATATTTTGTGATCGAAACTCTTTAGATAAAAGTAACACACTTAGAGTAAGCTGAATAAATAAGTTTTTTCATTCCACGTAACCTAATTCGCACATTTTTTATTCAAGAGCGTAGCGCTTTATCCAATGAATTTTCAGTGAAATTATGAAAACTCAACTTCAACCCGCCAAACTATAAATCTGAGCTTGACAACTCTTGGAACTGCTTTCGCGGAACGCACACGATCGCGGAACGCACACGATCGAAAAAAATTTCTCATTAACACTTGCACATTTCATTTGATATTTTCAGACGTTTCGCATTGTCGCTTTCCTGAAATTTTGGTAGTTGTCTTTTGTTGCGAGTTTCCACGGTACCCTTCTTGGCATTCGAAACAAATGTTAGATAAAATTGAAGCTACACTTTGCAAAAATAGACAGCAAGCGGCAATAAAACAGCTCTAAAACCCAAGTAAACGTAATTCTTTTAAAAAAAAAGATTTTGAAACAGAAAAATTCGCTGACTGGTGAACTCAACAAAAATTCTGCCGTTTTAAAATCAAAAGCATTACCACAAACTGAATACTTTCACACATACTTATACTAGCCGACATGCTTGACTACGTAAACACCACTCAGCGATAAATATATCACTGAACACTAGCAGGGAGCAATAAATGCTCTTTAAATAACACAAGACCTAAACAAGTGACGAATCACTTCGTACATTAACACTTACGAAAACTCACTTCATACGTGACAACGCCTGTTCTGTAGGCAACATCAAAGAAAATTTTAAGGCAAAAATCATAACAATTGCTCAACTGGAATCTACTTAACAATCAACTGCCACCACGGTACCCACTACAATTTCCACCCCTAAAAATAAATGCAGTAAATTAGCACTATAGCGTTCATATATAACTCAATGTTTGCTGAATTCTGATATTCTGATTGGTCGAAGAGTTTTAAGTAGATCCCTCATCTGACGCAAACCAATGAGCTTCAAATAAACTTAAAAAGCTACCCAATTGATTCAAGGATTTTGGCGCGATTGCTAGACATTGTGTCGATAATTTTTTTTTGAAATTTTTAGGCCATTTCAAAACGCCACTAAATCTAGAACGAATTGGCAATGCAACAGCTCGTAATCGTCTCATCAAAGTAGTTTTAAAACTTTTAAAAAATTTCAGGCTTCTGGTTTCACACCGATACACAAAAACACTTTCAAAATAAAGTAAAAAATAGTTTTCAGTGTACTCTTTATATGTTTCAATTCTTTATTTGTTTCAATTCTTTATAACTCCCATAATCAGCTCTTTGTTCAATCCTTCCTTCTTTGTTCAATCCTATCTCAATCAGGAAAGTTGCTAATTTGATTCTATTGATAAAAAAGTGTTGGTTTCACACCTATAGTCACAGTTCTATTATTATGTTCTCAAGCGAACTTTTAAAGAACACTTTTATTTGCGAGTTAGGTTAGAAAAAAAGAAGGTTCGTACTAAGAAACTAGCTGCTCGCTAGCGTAATCAGCGACGTAACAAAAATTATGAAGAGGAAACAGCGAAGACAATTTTTGAGCAGACACAAGTTGAGCCGAAAAATAAAAACGATTTTGGACAAAAATGTCCAAGTTCCAAAGGAAATTACAATGAGCAACACTTGCACTGACAACTACAATTAAAACTGCTTACAGCGCAAGAAAAATCATTGATGTGGCAACTAAGACAACAATATTTGAGCAGATACCACTTGAACAGCACCAAAAAAAATGAGTTTTTGAATTAATTGTTAAAATCTTTCAAGACCCCCCTGAGAGTAGAAAAAAAAACACTTGCACTTGCAACTGTAACAAAAATTGCTTACAGACCAAGCAAAATCCATTAAGTAGCAACTGAACTGACAAAAATTGAGCAGACAAACGAAGTCCGACAATTGAAAACAGGCTTAATCTAGTCTTATGGCGCTCTCTCAAGTAACGTTTCACTAAAAAAAACACCAATTTGTAATTTCGTCCTTGTAACGACTTCACTTGGAAACAATTTATAATTTTTATATAATATTAACACAGCTGACAGTTACCTTCACACCCGCACATAGTGGTGTCCTCGGCTGGTCGGACCTCTTCTTAGATAGGTAGGCGAGGAATGCGGATTTGCCACTGCCTCTGGGTCCCCGTACAGCTAATATGGCCCCACTCTCTTTCTTGTAGTTGGCAAGAGTGCTTTTATTTAGCAGGCTCAGGCACTCCTTATACCTACATAGAGAAAAATAACAAACTTGCTAATAAATCAGTAGCAAAGATCAAATGTTCCAAATACATCGAAAGAATATCATAAAAGCTGTTAGGCCTGTCAATTGATGTCTCGTTATACAAAAAACACTCCACCAATTAAAAAAAAGTTTTCAATCATCAAATAAATGCCATAAGGAACCTTCTTTTAAACCAGCAGCAAAACAAAACCAGATCATTAAGAAGGTAATTATTCTTCACTCAGTGCAAAAGCGGAACTAACAAATTAAAAAGAATGATGTAATAGTTAGTGAAAGATAAAAAACAATTTAATTAAATTTGAACACAATATAGCCAACAGACAGTTGAAAAAGAGTCAATGAACGAAAGAAAACAAAAAAATACTGGCTTGTTCTTAAAATCTCGAACTTTCGAATTTCAATGAAAAAAACTGATGCCCTTAAAGGTCTTTGAATTTCTATAACAATTTCTTGCCACGTTTTGATAAAATTAACCCAATTTGAGAAAACCGGATCAAAAAGTAAAAATTTTTATTTCGCTGGAAATCTGGAAATTAAACTCCACTTTCGAAACTAGAATGCGACCACGTTTTTTGTGACCTTTTCATTTCCTTAGTTAAAAGGAAGGCAAACTCCACTATCGAACAGCAAGTGTAATGAACTTAAAAAGAAATCAAAACCCGAAAAAGTAAATTTGAGCCTGAACAAATTTTAAAACTTTTCCAAAAAACGAAAAACAATCATCGCGACCTATATAAGTCTGAACTACGTAAAAACACCTCCGAAAACTGCCCTTTATAAGATTGGATCATAAAGATTTCGCAGTATCATAAAAAATTCGAGTTTAACTTGAGTAGACTTTCAACTTACTTTTTGAGGTCATCTTCTGGAGGAAATCCTTGGGACACTTTGAAGTACAAGTCATCGATGACCTTGTCAATCTCGAAGCCCAGCATCGAGTTCAGAGTCATGTAGTACCTCGACTCATCGCCCAGAGTCTGTTGATAAGCCGCATGTGCCTGCAACGAAAAAACAAACAATTAGATCGAACAATTCGAACTAAGGAAGTGATATGACCAAGAGTTGAAACCACGCCAATAATCTCTGAAACAATTATTATTTACTTTGAAACTTCAATAATTGACACAGCGAGCACAGATCATGGACCTCGAATGATTTAGAGGCTCCCCTTAACTGCGGTTCTGAAAAGCTTGGATACAAAAGGTTTCATTGGCATTTCAGGGGTGCTCCGAAAATCTCTTTACTCAATTTTTCAAAGAGCCTCAGCGACAGAAAAACTGCTTTTATGGATGAGACATTCCGAAAAAAGAAATAAACGGCTGTTTTGCCTGTTTTTTTTCCAAAGCTTGACTACGCCACTGATATTAGTGGTTGAGAAGAGCGAAAATGATCAATTCTGGAAACAAAATGCACCATTAGAAACTTCACAAGGAGTTTAGGAAGGCCAGAAAAAAGGAGAACCTTCAAAAAATTCTTTTCTTACGAAACTAAGCCGACAAAAATAAGCAGATAGACGATAGTCTAAATTAACCGAACCTTTTCATTTAGCAAAAAAAAAACAAGTCCCGACTGGAATTCTCGGCCTTTGTCTCAGACATGAATATTACACTGCGCCAAGTACGCAGAATTCTCCTGTAATTTATGATAAACACAATTAACTCACTTGTAGAATTTCCACGTGCGAATTCTGTTAAGAAAGTTGTTTACAGGGGAAAAAAGTCGGCTTTTTCCTTTTACCTTCACTTGCAAAATTTTACATTAAAATTTTGTTTCGCATTGTCTATGTGAAGGAGGGGGAGGAGGAAAAAGAGACAAAAGTCGAGTACCCAGTTGCAACGCCCATGCTTATCCAAAAGGTTAAAATGAATGTATCCAGCTCACCTGCCATTCCTGGTACATCTCCATGGCCACTCCTCTCAGGGAAGTGGACACGTCAAAGAACTCATTGGCAATCAATTCCGACCAGTCCTCATACACCAGTTTGCCCAATTCCTCAACTGTAGTGTACTCTCTGATCTGCGACATCGGCACGTAGCTTCTGATTTTGCGCTTCAGGTTTTTCAGACGCTTCATAGCGTAGTCCGATTCACCGCCAAATTTCTGAAACATCATGAGACATTATCATCGCCAGCATCATCACTAGCGGATTTATGGGAGGGGGTGGAGCAGACGATACAACCAACCTCAGAGATCCACCCCCTAACAACCCATGGGCCCCCTTTGGTACTATTGTAAGACAGCCTTTTTTGGCCAACCGACCCTGAAAATTTGCTATAGTGCCGTTGGTGCCAATATATACTACTTTTGAGAGGGAAGCGCGCCAAAAAACGGTCAATTTTTGGTCAGAATTTCCAAAAAAAAACCTTTTTCGACCTCTTTTTACCCCTCGCAAAAAATCCATTCCTCGAGAAAATCTTAGATCCGCCCCTGGGAACCATCATTCTTAGATGATAAATGACCTCTCTTGTCACTCATTCACCTGTATTCGAACTACGCATCTAATGAATTTTCTGTTTCAAATGTTCTGCTAGAAGAAACACGATTAGAAGCTCACCTTCTCTTTTTCCTTCCTCTCACTCTCGTCCAAGTGTGAGAAATCCTTGGGAGTCCTGAGGTAGTAGAACATCTTGTGTGGGTTCTGAAGAGTCAGCCTGTAGGTGATCTCCAACTCAGTGATGCTCGCAAAGTGGTTGTCTGTGTTGTTCAGAATGAAGCTGTAGTTGCCAGTCACTGCCGCTACTACTAGGTTCTTATCCAGCCAGTCTGGTTCATCACCCAGATCTTCCAAGCTAGTCAACAAAACGATTATTTCAAATGAATCAAAAACACTTCCTTGGTCAAGGTCTTTACCATTTTGTTAAGCAGAAACTCGCTTGTCAGAAAAATTTCGTGATACAGAACTGAATTTAGTTCCGAAAATAATTCACATAATCCAGTTTGTTTAGTCTCCTCCTTTCAAACCTAGGGGTTTCAAACTCTTTTCAAACGAATTACACTCATATAATAATTTTCTTTAGCTGTTGTTTTATGCACCTCATTCAAAGAAACAACTCCATTTTGCTTTCATATGCCATCATAAGTTTCAACAGCATACTTTTCGCATATACAAAGTCGCTTCTTAATTACTTTTATAAATTCATCAAGGATTTACTTTCAATAAGAGCATATTAGTCAAGCCATAGCCTACCTCCTTGGAAGCAGATCGCTTTTCGGATCCCGGTGGGACCCATATCTCTCTCCCAGCAGACAAATAAAATACGGACTACAATGTCTCACATAGTCCAGACAACTCTGGATCAGGTGACCTTTATCTTTCTGCGACTCACTTATTCCCCATCTCAGGTCCAGGGGTTCGAATCTGGATCCCTTCTCAACGCATAGTAAATTCAACTGGGGGAATATTTTCTTCACTAGGTATTCTCGCTCGTCTTCGAAGTCGATGAAGGTTGAGCTCACGAAGGGAGTTATGGCTTCACTGAGTTGGTACTGAAGACGTCGCTTAGAGTTGTGACTCAGCAGGCGTTGGTATTGGGGGGAGGTGGGTGTAGATAATTTAGAGTCCATCAACACCTGAAAATATGAAGCGAATCTGACATCTAGTTAAGAAAAATGCAACTCTTTTGCTGCACCTGTCAATCGATTTGAAAAAAAAACACGAAAAAAAACATCCGCCAAAATGTCCATGTTTGTTTTGAGAATTATTCAATTTGGCCAAAAAAAGGTCGTGAAACACAATTGCCAGAGTCATTGCCACAATTGTAACTAAGCCGACAAAACTTGGGAAGACGCCAGTAAGCAGTAAAAATAGTTAAACGAAAAAATTCTGAGCTATACAATTTGTTCCAATTCAAGTTTTCACGCCCATCTTTTTTAAGCACGTTAACATAAAAATTTCACTTTCGTCATTGAAACGAAATAGACTCAGGCAACAATAATTCGAAACTATTAAAACATAGCCAACAGACAGTTGGAAAAGAGTCAATGAACGCAAAGCAGCCGAAAAATTTTATTAATTTTTTTTGTGACTTTACTTTCAAATTTCAAACAAAACAAGACTGCTCGTATCAGGGCGAAGCCCTGAATGTTCCGACTGCCCTTTAAGGTTTAAGGAGCAGTAATAACATTAAAAAATTCAATGAAATAAAACAAAATGAAAAAAAAAAATTTTTTAAATTTAAAATTTTTTATGAAAATCATCCCCCCCACACTCCATATAAAGTACAAAAGGATAGATTTCGCTCCTTGTAACAAACCAATTATGGCAAACAAGCTTCTTTTAACCAATTTGGAACGATTTCTAAGACGGATTAACTCTCCGCTTACGCGTTAATAGCGCGAAATATATCGCGCGTTAATTGTCCCAAATTGACCAAAATGGCAATCTTTAAACCCCCGTAACTTTACGAAAAATGATCACAGGTGAAATATCTTTTCAAATTTGAGCTCAGGACAACAATACCTTTCGAATGATATAAAAAACTCCGTCAAAAATGGCTAGTTAAAAAGTCGAAATTTGTCTGAAGAAAAAAAAACCCACCCCGAGCACAAATATTCCGTTACTTTCGTATCGAAAGTCGGAACAATAATGGCTGAAAAATAAGAGCAATTTAAATTAAACTCGACTTTCGAAGCTAGAAACCGATTAAAGTCCACTTTCGAAACTGGAAATGGATCACGTTTTTTCACGCCAATTCAGATTTTATAATCGGAGAACGCACTTTGCGTACCTTCTAGCAAATGAACATGAAACGAACTCAAAAAGTGCGTATATACCTAAGGGCATTCATACGTGCATTAAATTTTTCCTCAAAAAACAACAAAAACCATCACGACCTATTTAAGAGTCTGAACTACGTTATCGACTCTTAAACAGAAGTAGATATTATTTGAGCTGAAAAAACTTCAAAACAAAATATAAATTGAAACAAGGATAGTCGGTTACTTTGCACGTAGCACAGAATGTTTCGACCATACTCTAAAAAAAATTTGCGTCGTTTTTTCTGTTTTGTAAAATAAAATGATCTGAAGAAAAAAATATAAATTAGGCATATTCAACAGATATAGTCGAATAGGTTAATTGGAAAACTTTTTTTTGTAGAAAAAGACATAAATTAGCGAAAAAAAGCTGTAAAAAAATTCACGCATTTCTCTAATTCCCAAAATGGCGCTAAAAACCCAAAAAAAACTAATTTTGCTCAAATTAAACAACGTTTTCACGTCTAAAATTAAGCTTGAATAAGCTATTGGTAGCTTGCACGCTGACCGTACTAGCTACAAATTAGACCAGAAATCTTGAATTAAGCTTAAATAAGCTATTGGTAGCTTGCACGCTGACCGTACTAGCTGGAAATTAGACCAGAAACCGTTTTTTTTGACACTGGGAAAAAAATTCGGAATTTTCAAAATATCTTTCGAATCGCAACTGAAAGGGTTTTAATACGATACATGAATCGATCCATTCCTGATGATTATTTGTGGTACCTGATTTAGCGCGGAAAAAAAATTAAAAGACACCCGAATACAAAGATCCTCCGCATTCTTCGAATGAACGGAACAAAAAACTGAAACATACCCGAATACAAAGTTACTCTCCATTTTTTAAAGGGTCCGAAAAATTATGCATTATTTTGGAACTCTGCTACCTGCAGTCTTGGAAATTTTTAAAATGGCATGCAATGGTAAAACAGCTAAACCTTAAGAATGAAATGTGCGTGCTGTGGAAACGATGTCAACGGTATAAGCATATACACATGTTAAAAATTGAGCAGAAGTACAAGTCACGCCCGGACTCGAACTTCGAGTCTTTTTTTATCCCAAGCGTGGTCGTTCATTTATCGCACAAAAAAATCTAGATTCCGGTTTCCTATCAATAGTGATCGCATACCATTTATAATTCTCGTTTCAGCAGTAAGTTTAAAGACAACGGCATTCGAAACCGAACAAGAACGTTTGCTTTTCAACCAAAAATAACTTTCTTTAAACCTTTTAGCGATTACTATTCGAACGTAAAAGCACATGCTATCAAAAAGCCGTAAAGGTGCACCAATATTTGCGACTTAGGTTAGAAAAAAAGAAGTTGTAGTATAACACTAACGCTCACTAAAGGTGGCTAGTGTAAAAAGGCACTCGAACAAAATTTGCAAACACACGTGCACTGAATTGATATATCGTCCTGTTCTGAATGCTGGGAACAAAATTATTCAGGGAAAAAAATCTAGTACCTGGTTATAACACACTTGCTATCACAAGCTCATTGAAAGTCCAAACACTTTTGGGATTGTCACTTTATGATACAACTAACACTTTTTAATATAACTAACCCAACTTAAAAAACAGGATCAAAGGATGAATTTTTTTATTCTGTTGGGAATTCTGAAAACTAAAATCAATTTTTGAAACTAGAAGTTATCAAGTTTTTCGCGTCTTTTGCACTTAAGTAAATCGAGAGCGTAACATGCTTTCATTTTAGGTAATGAATTTCTATTGAACTCAAAAGGAAATTAAAAGTCAAACCGAAAAAAAAATCAAATCAGAGCCTGAACAATTTTTATGACATTTTCCTGAAAAAAATTAACGCAACATTTATAAGTGCCTTCATTTCGTTGACATTTGAGTGTTACAAAATTAATCTTTTTTGAAATAAAAACACATTCCAAAACCTTAAAATTATTTTGAGGCAATTAACTAGTCACTCTTCGTGGCTAATTTTTGTTACCGGAATATTATGAATAACATGAAGTTACAGTTTCGCTTCCTTTTCACAAGCATTTCAAAAAATATCAAGCTCAGCTCAAGCCTTCTGCATTAAATGCTGTTTAATTAAATAAACATCTCTCTTAAATTCAGCTGCAGCAATTACAAAACTATCACCTTCAATATTATTAAATCATCTATGAAAACTACCGGATTCGAATTCGTTTATTTGAACTATACAATCTAAATAAAGAGTTAACATTTCCCAAATAATTTCACAGATAATTTTTGGTTCCAATCAAACAATTAAATGGCAAAGCATGAGGAAGCATCATTCAAACAATTTACTCGGGATCAGTGGCGGATCTAGGATTTTATCGAGGGGGGGGGCGGATTTTCAAAAAAAATTCCGCGAAAATTTTGTCGACCTTTTTTTAAGTCGACCAAATGGATTTTCTGAGCTCTCCCAAATCTTGATTTTCTGAGCTCTCCCAAAACCCCATTTTGACTAAATTTTCTGTGCCGCAGGCATCTTTTATTTAACGGTGCTCCGGATTATATCACGAATGCATTTGAGCTTTAAAAAAAATTAAAGTTGTACTATTCGACATTTTGGCCCATCAATTGTATTTTCTTTGCTCACCAATTATGAGGCAAATAAACAGATATATTTAAAGCCGAAACCATTTAAGCCGAAGAAAACTCAAATAAAAAAAACGCAAAAAAAACAGCAAAAAAAAAAAAAAAGAAAAAATTAAGAGATGTTTTGAAAGCAACAACAAAAATTTGAATGAACAGGCCATTTAAAACGCAAATATGTTCAAAAAATCAGCTTCCGCGCATTCCATCAGATCAGACATGCCAACTGATTTTGATAAACAAGTTGTTCACCTGAAAAAAAAGTAAATATTCCGATTTGATAACGTTTGCTAATCGCAAGCGTAATGACACAATCAATAAGTTCTTTGTTAATTCCGCTGAGATTTCTGACAACTAAATTCCCTCTTCAAATCAAAACTTACGCCATTCACGTTTTTTCACGCATTTGCATTGGAGACTGAAATTTGCCTTACCGCAAATATCCAAACCTCGAAAAATCAAATTTCAGTGAGATTAACTTTAAGACTTTTTCCATTAAAAAACGACCTAAATCTGAGATTAATCACTTCGTTCGTTAACACTTGATACTTAAAAATAGCTTTTTTGTAAATTAAATTCTACCAACTTCGAACCTAATTGATGCGTAACTAAACAAGCAATATTGCGTTTTTGGAGATAATGACGCATATATAAGCAACCCCCTCAATACAAGTAAACGCAATTTCCCGGGTAAGAAGCATGGATTACAATGCAAGATATTATTCTAGTTTTTCAAATCAAAAACAATTTAACTTTGATTAAAAGCATAGTTTAAATGGTTGCAATCAACAGCTACAGCCTGTTCTAATAGACAACATTCATCGACACAACTTGGCCAACCCAAAATAAAATCTCCAGAGACGAAGTCCTTGGTGAAATAAATTCGAAATAATAATTCGGACAATTGGTCGATCAGGGACTGGAGAATGAATCGTCTGTCACGCTGTCGAATATATCGACCAGACTTCGACTGTCGCTGCTGTCAGATTCGTCATCGTACTCAGAATCTACATCCCATCCTAGAAAAACAAAATGGGTTATTTTGAAAAACATGCAGCTTTGAGCTTTGATACCACGAGTGTCGCGCGAACTCCGCAAATTATATTTCAAAGCAAACTAATAGCAGATTCAGCTGTTTCTTTATTTTTAGATTGAAGAGTCAAAGGTGAGTTATGAAAAAAAATCTTGTTTTGACTCAAGAAACAATGCTAAATCAATTTTTAGTTCGTTTCGTTTCACAAACCGAATATCGCAGCTGCCACGAAGAAGTCCTCGGGGTTCATATCTAACAGACCTCGGATCAAGTCACCCCCGGTTCGAGACTCCCTCTCGCCTAGAGCGTCCAGGACACGATTGGCTCCCATGAACCTGCGTTCGCCAGATGAACTTATCTGGACTCTAAAAAAAGCATTTCTACCTTGATTTTAAGACTCAATATCGACAATGCTGAAAGCCAGAATATGGACATTTAAGCACATAACTTCATTTCGCTTTCAGTGTGCGTTAACATGTGGATAATCATTTTGAGTATAAATTTCATATTAGGCTATGAAGTAGTTTTAATTTTTATGCTTAACAGCTCGCCACAGCTCACTGTTTGAAGCTTCCTGTCTGTGGCACTATTACTGATCAATCACTACTAATATAAAACAAAAATAAGAACTAATATCATACGTATTTAAACTGTTCTTTAGAGATATCAGTGCTCACCTTGGATTGACTTTGGGGACCAGTTCGCCCTTGGAGTTGGCATGCTTGTAGAAACAGTGCACTCCGAAGGGACAAGTGCCGTTGCCTTTGTCGAAATACTTGCAATCCTTCGTGCTGAACAAACACAACATTTCTCATCATATCAAAAAGACATCAAAAAATCATTTGTTTCTCTCTTTTAATGATTTATCCATATTACAAATGGCTTTTGAAAGATGTAAGAAACGATTTATAAAAAAAATTAGAAACATAACAGTTGATTTCCTATCAAGAATACAGCATGTCTCATCTCATCTAAAGAACACATCAAAAAAAGTATTTTTATTTCTTATTTTAATGATTTAGCCACATTATAATTTACTCTTGAAATAGATAAGGAACCAACTATATGTTGTGAAAACAGAAAAAAAACTGCTGCTTTTCTATGTGAAGGCTTCAGAAAGAACTACATTTTTCGGCGGAATCGCAAAAACTGAACATCGAAAAAAAGAGATTGGAAATTTATCCTCCGAATCCAGATCTAAATTGAAGAGGTTTTTTATGATATACCCAGTAGCGTATTTAGGGGGGACGCTCCCTCATCAGGGATTCGACCCCCTGCCGACCCAAAGGGCCCCCCTTTGTACTCTTTTGAGATATCTATTTTTGATGAGGTACCCTAAAATTTTTCTAATGGCGCCTTCTGCGCCAATAAATACTAATTTTTGAGAGGGGAGCGCGCGCCGAAAAAATGCGCTTTTTGACCTGTTTTTTCAAAAAGTTGCCTACAACGCAGCAAGTTTGGTCAAAACGGGGTATTTATTGTGATTTGGGAGAGCTCAGTAAAATCAATTTGGTCGACCTAAAAAAAAAGTCGACAAAATTTTTTTTTAAATCCGCCCTCCCCCTCCTCGAGAAAATCCTGGATCCGCCCCTGGATATACCACTCGAGCCCATCTGACATTGATTTGTGACTGATTTTGCGTGAAAAAAAACACAACCTTTGACTTACGACTTACCCCTGATTGTGTTCGGAACAAAAATTAGGAATATTAGAAAAAAGGATCAGTCTGCTTTTTGATAAGTTGGCTGACTTCTCGCAATGTTAGTTTTTCTTTTGAAATATCTAAAAGCAAAGGTTCGAAAAAACCCTATTTCTGATATAGATATCTTTGGTCACTGCATTGGGGCAGGAAATTGAGTTAATGATTTTCCTATTGTATCATGAATTGGCTCCAAGCGTAAATTTCTAAGTGTCAAATGATTAGACCTTGACCTACGCTTTTAAAGTACCACGCAAACAAATGTGAATCTAATCATCAAACCGGGTGCACCCTCTTTTCAAATGTTTTTTTTACCCGGTCCGAGGAGGATACGAGGAAATATTAATGTGTACTGTGTACCTAAGAGTGGCTTTGTAGGTTTCGAGTAGCTTGTCTTTTTCCTCCTTCTCATCCACCCACATTTTGCTGGGAATCACCAGGTGTGACACTACACGACACTCGGGACAGGACCTAATAAATTACTGATCAATCATAATTAATATTAGGAAAATAAAAACAAATCTCATATGCGTTCACAATTGCATTTTTGAGATATCAGTGCTCATCTGAGATTGACTTTGAGGACTTTTAAATGATCATTTTGAATTTCTGTGCTCAAAAAACGTTAAATCAAATATTTGATGAGAAAGGTAAAAAATTGCATATGAAAAATGAACCACAATAATTCAATTGCTCTTTCTAATTAATTTATTCATCCGATATTTTCGCTATCGTTTACACAGCTTACGATAATGCCTTGAAAATCATTTTCAACATCCGTTTTTTGGTTTGATTCTTTTCTAACTATATATCAGTGATTATCTTTCTTGCCAAAAATTGTCAGTTTTTCTTACTGGCGATGGTTTCTTTTATTATCAATATACTGACTTAACCTCTTTTGCCTGTAAAAAACTAGAAAACAAATGGCCTACTACTGACCTTTTGACCTCTTTTTCGAAGTTCTTCTGACATCTCCACTCTCTTAAACACTTGAGACAGAAGACATGAGTGCAGTCAGATAGAATGCCAAACATCCTTTCTCCAATTCGTTCTTTGTCCAGTACCACGTCCATACATATTCCACACACTTTCTTTCTGTTTTCAGACTGCTTCAACGAGATCTCGATGTCTTCTCTGGCAGCCATGAAACACTCCTACACAAATACAGAAACAATTTTAAAATAGCCAACAGATGGTTGGAAAACAGAAGAAAAAACAAAGAAATTTAAAAAATATATATTGAAATTCACGCCCTATATAAGTAACAATCACTTCGCTCTTTTACATTTTAAAATTACCAATCAATCAAAACCTTTTGTCCATACATACATAGAAAAATAGTCAAACAAGATACGCCCGTCGAAAATGCGACAATATTTCCAGTAAAATTTTTGACAACTGAAAAAACTTTATCAATAATTTGCATTCATCCACTCATGTAAAACAAACCGGAAAAAATGATCGACTTTGCAAAAACGTTTTTCAACTTTCAAATAAAAACATCCTTCGTGAACCTTTCTTGATTGAAATTTTTCCATAAAAGAAATCCGCTTAGATAAAACTCGGTCAAAGAGTAATTTTTCTATTCCGCAGAGAAATCACAAAGTCTATCTAAGCCCTTATCGGAATAGAAATCAATCACGTTTTTTGCGCCATCTCTGCTGTCATTTATTGTTATCAGGAAAAAATGGTTCCTTAGTTAGAAACTGAGATAGTCTTTAATTCGCCATTGCAGATGAAACAATCTACAACCGCACAAGCGCTCTACCAAGTAGATCAATCTAGCTTTAAAAAGTTCAGCTTTGAAAGAAAAAAAGCAAAATCAGAACGTTGAAACGGACAAAAAACAGAAATAAACATGAGGATAACTTTATGTTATAACACAGAGCCGAAACTGAGCTTCGCGCCACTTGCGATACAAATATGCATGATTATGATTAAAATCAAATGAAAAGATAAACAAAAAATTGAAAAAAAACCTTTGTCAAAAAAATCGTTTGTATCATACAAACTTATAAAGTCGCATAAGCCAAAAATATCCAGATTAAACAGCTGCACTATTGGAAACTTTACGAAAAGCTTTCAAAATGTTAAAAACAAAGCCGAACCGAACTTATAAAATCTATTCTGTGTGTCTTAGGCCGGTAAGAATAAGCAGATGGACAAAATCCTAAATTAGCCTAAAATTTCAGTTTGCAAAAAAAACAGGTGCCGACAGGAATCCAACTACCGGGCTTTGTCGTCTCAAGCATGGATGCTAGAGCAACTTGAAAAAAAGTTGAACCTCCAACATAGGTGATGCGGAGCTTCGCATCACTTGCAATACCACAAAAAAGCATATCCGGAGGAAAGCATACAAATTATTGTTCCCTCGAACAACCCATAATTAGGTGAGTAAGCCGATAAAATAAAAACCGAAATCATTCAGGCCGATAATTTTTTTTTAAGCGAAGTCCTTTTTTAATTAAAACAAGAAAAATATACGAAGTCAAGGCTAGTATAATAACAAATAGCAGGAGTAAATGAAAACATAAAAAAAAACAACTACAAAGAAGACTGCGAAAAAAAAATGTGGCAACTAAGCCGACAAAACATAAGCAGACAATTTGCAAAAAACATGCAGACAAAAAATAAGCAGAGTTTGAACCGGAGAAGTTCCCGTTTTTAATTCCCCTTTAAAAAAACAGGTCCTGGTCAGATGCGAAATCATGATCTTTGCCGTTCCAGGCGTAATCGTTGCCTCCAGACTAAGTGTGCCGAAGACTCTTCAGATATTGAACTCATTATGAACCAAGATACCAAGTGATTCGGTTAAACAAGTTTTGGACCCGAAAAAAGTCTATATTTTGATTTGATAACGCTTGCTCAAGCGTAAAAAAACGGGTCACCGGCACAAATAGGCTGACACAAATAAACAGACGGAAGATAGTCCACGAAAGCTCAAAAACTCCAGTTTGCAAAAAAAAACAGTCACGGTCGAATTAAAACCACAACAAGCCTTGGCCGTTTCGAGCAGACGAGTTACCTCTAGGCTAGATGCACCAGATCGTTGATTGATTTTGAGTTTATAATAAGGCAAGCAGATGAATGAGTCTAGGATCCAGGAAATGAGTCCCTTGAAGAAAGTTATTTACAAAAAAAAGTCGAGCAACCGAATGCAATACTTTGCTTATCGCTAGGGCAAAAACTGCAGAGCGCAAGTTTCATCGTCCTGTGACCAAAATTATTTACGGAAAAAAGTCTAGTACTCGATTGCAATACTCTTGTTATCATAAGGGTAAAACTGTGGAGCGCAAGAAAGTTGCCCTTTGTTTATATCGGTGGATTGAACTTCAACACAGACAATTCTTGAGCAGGCATACGTTGAAAAAATGTTTTCGTGAAGTTTTTAGTCTTCTTCACAACGTTTAGAAAAAGTTAGTTTGCTTATCCAACCTCTCAAAATGAGGACGTTAAGCCGATGTAATTTAAACCGAAACAATTTAGGCCGAATAAAGAGAAAAAAATTGATATACTGAAATTGGAGTTGGTAAATTTACATCCAGCCAAAAACTATTTCGAATCGAACGGGCACTTAAAATGCAGACTTGCCCAAAAAAAATCAGTCATCCTGAGAACAAATTTATTTACGGGAGAAAAGCCTAGTACCCGGTTGCAACACCTTTGCTTATAGCAAAGTTAAACAAATCAGGTAAACAAGTCCAACTGCGAAAAAAATTGAGCATAGCCAACATAATCAAATGGTATGACATTTCCTAAAAAAACGTTTTTTGATCCTTAAACAACAATTCCACGCTATTTTTTGGGTATAAAATAGAAACACAGGGCTCACCATTTCGTGTTTACTTCTTTGCTCTTTATCGTTTGGTTCTAAACAGTATGCGGCACAAATTGGACACTGGTCCAAGTGAGGAAACGAACACAAGTCCCCCAGTTGACAGGATCCGATTACATACATAGGACATACCTCTGGAATTTGCATAGCCTGAGGATTGATTTGATTGCCATAAATTTCATTTAATTGTGTTGGTGGTAAACTTAAACTACTACAAGCTTGGTAAGAATAATCTTGCAAGGGATATACTAAGGAGAATCCGGTTACTGATTCTGGATCTACTAAATGCGTTCTGGCTACGTCTGAGTAAGAGCCAAAACTGTTAGCTTGAGTATGTGTATTTGAATCAGTCGGACTGACGTATGGATTCGTAGGAACGAAAACTGGTGCTTCAGCCCAGCTCGTATCTAAAACTCTTGGTCCTTTAGAGCCGGTCGGAGAACTGATGCAATTTGTATTCGAATCGTAATCTAACAAAGTTGCCGCGTTCGTAGAAAGCCGCGTAGTAGCTAAGTGTTCACTAATCCTGTCAATTGGCCTATTAATATGTTCCATACTGTTGAGGTGATGGGTGGATGGTTCCGAATTTTGATTGCAAGGTGTTGAACCAGTTTCTGTTACACTTGTAGTTTTTGAATCGACTTGTAAACGAGATGCTTTCACGTGATCAAACCTAAATAAAGCTCAATGCATAAAATACAACTTAAATATTCACAGTCCCCGCCCCGCAGAAAGAATTATCTTTCGAACCCTTTTTCTATACGACGTCTAGCATTAAGAATTTCTTTTCTCCTTATCACTTGGCATCTTATTAGTTTCATAATGAGTACTCTTTAAGCAAAGAAAACAGGGTCGTTAAAAATTTACCTGCATTTTTCGCCATATCTGCAGAAGCCCCGGAAAAAATAGTTGCATACATTGTGGAACTTTGAAGTGGCTCGATCATGAGAGAAAAAACAGGCTTCTCCGTACATGCATACACCATCGGCATTGTACCTATTAAAAAAAGTCTGGTTTAAATGATGTTCATGAGTTAGAATTTCTACATGTTAAAACATATACCTGCACAAAACCATCTTAGCGACAGATGGTGGAATAGCATCTCCACTCATTATTTCTGAAAAGACTACCATATTCGAGCCAAATAAACTTTTTAACTCCCATTTCAATAAAATTAAACAAAAAGATGCAAAACGATAGCTAATAACAAGATACAAGTATGTCATGCAAAATCAGTATATAATTAGTAGCAAAAAGTTCGGACAGACAGAATTAATTAAAATGAGCAATCAGTGCTTTTCGACGCTTTTTTGCATGCAAAATTTGAAGCCGGACAACCTTGAACTTTTTGTAAGACAAATTCGAAAAGCAAGGTTGTCGATTATCCGATGATTATCCTAGCCTAATTTTTAAAAACTGCGATCAACATCCAGATTTGCTATAAAATAGTTGGCAAATTTAGTTTAAGAATCGAAATCTGGAGTTATTTTGAACAAAAAAAAACTGATTAGGCCGTTCCAAAAAAAAAACGGAAATAAGAAAATCGTCAAATCATTCAAAATTCAGAAAATTTTTTTTGCCACTTTTGCAAAAATTTTCCTATTATAAGGTTTACTATTCGCCGCTTCTGATGCAGTTGCCCGCCGTGGTTATAAGTTTTGAGCGATACTCGGCTTTAAAAACTTTCGACGTTATGTTTATTTCAGTTTTTATTTCCGCTGATGTCTAGGCAGTTGCTCTTTTTAATTAATTCTGTCTGTCCGAACTTTTTGCAACTCTCTATAACTTTCATTTACAGTATAGTATATAATCATATGATAACAATAATTACTCGCAATTCAAAAGACATTTTATTGTTTCGATGATGTTTTTCCATAGCTTGTGCCAGTCGGTCATATTTGGAAGTTTGACCTTGATTTTGGGAAAAGTAAATTTTGAAAAATTCGAATTGACCACTTCATGCTCAAATTTTTCGCAACAACTGAAAACCAGAAGTGAATTAGATCAGAAGAGAAAAATCAGAAGTGCGGGAAAATCGATAAAAATCAGTCTAGAGTAAAATTGCTGTTCGCAATTTCACTGCAATCAACAACTCGAGTAGAGCTGTATTGTTCCTGATAGAGAGCAACGCGTGTGCCAGTCGGTCATGTTTGGAGGTTTGACCTTGAGTAATGCGAACGTGATTTTGGGGACAAATTGAATTTTTCAAAAATTCGAATTGAACATGTCTTGCTCAACTATCTCGCGATAACTGAAAATGTCAGAAGTATAGGATCAGAACGACCGAACTACAATCGCGAAAAAGTAGCTGAAAAGGCAGCGGGAAATTGCTATTCGCAATTTCCAATACTTAATTGGAACGAGAGTAGAGCTGTCTTAGTCCTGGCAGGAGACAGAAAGTAATGGCGAGTGAAAGGAGAACGAAATTCGATTGGCCAGAGTTAACCTTCGGTGGAAAGATGGACAACTGAAGTCTCCCAATGGTTCAAACCAAAAATTTAATTCTTGAGCTAAAAAAAACTGATTCGTTACAAATTTCTTGAATTAAACTTAATTACCCATCAATTCTAGAGTTGCTTTATAGCTTAGTTACTCAATTCTCGAGTGTGCTGGTATGTGAGTACCCAATTTAGTTTTCTTGAGTGTTTTTTATTATTGTTACTTTGAGGTGAGGAGAGTTTTAGGTTGATCCATCTGAAATGGATCAAAGTTCCACTCTCTAATAAAAAGTAACTGTACGGACTGTTCCGACCCTGTTTTTAACGGCGTTCGCGTATTTTGGGTATTTTGAGACCTAAGTATGGGGACGTTCTTATTTTCTAGAAAGGGCGGGGGGGGGGGGTATTTTTGTAATGGGCTTTATGCCGTAACGAGGGTTTTAGTCTCATGTCGCAAGTGAACCGAATTGGCTCCGACCGTTCGAGGTAGAAAAACACAAGAGATAGTGTCCCTGACTCTTAAGCCAATGGTTATAGGGCCTATTTTTCTTCAACCTTATATGTGACTTAAGTAGGCGCAACAATTTTTCGCAACAATTGAAAACCAGAAGTTATTTAGATCAGAAGAGAAAAATCAGAAGTGCGGGAAAATTGATGAAAATCAGCCTACAGTAAAAAAAAAGCTGTTCGCAATTTCACTGCAATCAACAACTCGAGTAGAGCTGTCTTGTTCCTGAATTAGAGCAGCGCGAAGTCTTACGAGAGTATCATCGTTAAGCGAGAGAATTTCTTGATTGGGCAGGCACACAAGTGAAGCTGCCCAATGGTTCAGAAAACTAAACTTATTGATTTAGAACAACTTATTACAAAAACTCCTAGACTTGCTTTACTTATATTATTTATCTAATTCAAGAGTCGCGTCACTATGTGAGTACTTAATTTACTTTCTCGAGTACATATTATATCATTATGTTGAGATAAGGCGAATTATAGGTTGATCCATCTGGGATGGATCAAAAGTCCACTGTCTAATAAAAACTAATGATATACTAAAGCTTTCGAACTGGTTTTTAGTGGCGTCCGCGTGTTTTAGGTATTTAGAGACCTAGCCATGGGGGCGTTTTTATTTCTAGAGTGGGGGGAGGTATTTTGGTAGTGGCCATCATGTAGTTTTCATGTAGTTTCATGTCTTCCGCGACCGAATTGTCTCCGCCTGAATGAGCTTAAAAAACACAAGAGATAGTATCCCTGACCCTTGAGCCAAATGTTCTAGGGACCTAGCCATGGGGGGCATTAGAGACCTAGCCATGCGGGCGTTCTTATTTCTAGAGTGCGGGGGAACTTTGATAGTGGCCTCGATGTAGTCTTCATGTAGTCTCATGTCTTCCGCGAACCGAATTGGCTCCGCCTGAATGAGGTTAAAAAACCACAAGAGATAGTGTCTCTGACCCTTGAGCCAATTGTCTTGGGGCTTGTTTTTCTTAGCATCATATGTGACTTAAGTAGACAACTGTTACAGGTTGACAAAGACAGATTTTCCATAAAAAGAAGAATGTCTTCGGCGAACCGAATTGTAGTCTCATGTCTTCCGCGAACCGAATTGGCCCCGCCTGAATGAGGTTAAAAAACATAAGAGATAGTGTCTCTGACCCTCGAGCCAATTGTTCTAGGACTTGTTTTTCTTAGCATCATATGTGACTTAGCATCAAAGTCACAGCATCTTAGTATCAAAGTCACATTTTCTTAGCATCAAAGTCACATATGATACTAAGAAAAACAAGTCCTAGAACAATTGGCTTGAGGGTCAGAGACACTATCTCTTATGTTTTTTTAACCTCATTCAGGCGGGGCCAATTCGGTTCGCGGAAGACATGAGACTACAATTCGGTTCGCCGAAGACATTCTTCTTTTTATGGAAAATCTGTCTGTTTTATGGAAAAACTGTCTGTTGTAAAAGTAGACAACTGTTACAGGTTGACAAAGACAGAGTTTCCATAAAAATCGATAAATAGGTCATTCTTAAATTAAATTTTCATTGTTTCATAAAGAAGATTGCAGTTGATTTTTCCATTTGCGTTTTCAGATCTGTTCCAAAGTACAACTGGTTTTCTGAAAAAAAATTTTAATTAAAAAAGAACTGTTGAATTTTTCTAGAAAATATAACTTTTTGGTTCTTTTGCTCTCATCAATTTTGGTCTTCTCGGAGCAATTTTTGATAGAGAGTTCAAAACGTTTTAGCATCTTCGTGTGCCGTCGCAAGTTTTGCACACAGAGGCGAAGCGAATCTCCGCATATCACTTGCAATACCACTGTGCCAGTTGGTCATACCCTGAAGTTTTATCTTAATTTTTGGGTGAAATGGTAATTGCGAAAAACTCTAATTGACTATGTCATGCTCAAGTTTATTGCGAAAACTGAAATGAAAAGTCAAAAAATCAGAAAAAAACGAGTTCTTAATTTTGGAAAAATGGACAAGAAATTCAGTCTAGAGACAAATTATTGTCCGCAATTTGAACATTCAACAAAAAATCGAGTAGCGCTGTATTGTTCTCGATATTGAACATCGAGAGTGGATACGTGATTTTTACTATTGGATCAAATAGCAACTTGACTGGGAAGGTCGACCAATCAAGCAACCTAATGGTCCAATTTGATAAAACTACTTGAGTTAAATACAACTAATTAATTCCGTAAACTTCTAGAGTTACCGTAGTTATATTACTTTACTGATTCCAGAGTTGTAGTCAAAACGTGAGTGTTCAATTCCTTTGCTACAGTTTTTTTCCTGAGTTTTTTTCTTTTAGTCTGATCTATCTAAAATGGATCAAAGGTCTACTGATAAAAAAAAATAGTAGTTACTTGAGTACCCAACCCTGTTTTTAACGGTGTTTGCCTGTTTTACGTAATCAGAGACCGAGCCATGGGAACAAGCTTACTTCTCGAGTGGGGGAGGGGTTTTTTGGTAGTAGCCTTTAAGTTGTAACGCAACCTCGAAGTCCCATGTCTTAAGCGAACAGAATTGACTACGAGAGAATAAGGTGCAAAAACACAAGAGGTAGTTTCTCTGACTCCTGAGCCAATGGTACTAGGGCTTTTTTTCTCTCAAGCTCTTTTCTGACAAAAGCAGGCGACTGTTACATACTGTTTTTATGACGCGCGTGGGTCTCAAAAAACATTATGTAACAGTGTTTCAAGCTAGCAGACATTCGAAGTATAAATATAAGAATTTTAAAATGTTATTTTGAACGTTTTCACATAGTTTGTGCATTATCGGAAATAAAATTTACAAAACAATCAAAGATCTGAAAAAGTTGCAAATATGTCTAAAAATGCTCTAAATTTTTTTGACCTTTGAAAATGAAACATCTGTAGTTACAAAAAATTACATAATCATTAATAGCATTTTCCAGTATATATATCTGAGATTTTTAATTTTTTTTCTTTGATTAATTTAAATTTTCAATTTGGGAATATCTTTGAATCTGACATGTCAGTTTTTTGAAATTTAGCAATGTTATACATGGTGTTTTAATCTAAGTGTGAATTACCGGCTCCAGATATCATCGCGTCTGCTGATTTTTGACCTTTCCCTCAAATATGCCAAGACTGTAGTGTCAGTAGTTTCTGAGTGTTGGCCGTTTGGTCTATAAGCTCTGATTTCAGCTCAGCTTTACCGCCTAC